ACACCTAATACTCAATCGAATGAGCTGAATTTTGCTCAATTAATTTCGAAATATTTTTACAAGAAACTGTCGGCTACGTTTACACAGTCGAGCCGCATGCTTGTCTAGTCGATCTACTTGAAATTCGTTAATAGGAACCAGGTAATAGAAAAACTGCTGAGAAAAAAAAGCGCTAACGGTGAACCCACGATGTGGCTTGAGATCGCCGGAGGTATCAGATTGTCATGTGAACAATCCATTAAAAAAAACTGCACTAACGCGGCGACCATTTATAACAAAAAGGGATCCCATATAAAAAAATGTCTGTGAAATTCTTATAACAAATGTAATTTATTACTCTTCGATGAAAAAAAAATAAATTATACCGCTTGGTGCGACGTTGTCTATACAGCATCCGGCATGGCCATCATCCATGGCATATGCACACCATAACTTGTCAACTCCACGTGCTGTACAATACGATAACTACAGGAGCCCATGGGAATAACACATAAATGGGCTCCGATAAGATTATTTTTTTCACCTTAACTAAAGATTCATGCACACACAAACAGGTATGTTACCTTTTTTTCGTTTTTAGCCCGTTTTCGATGTCAGATCTGTCCGGGATCACTGACACAGTATCTAACTAGAAACGGGTTATTCGTCCGGATGACTGAGCCCACTTCATGTCCTATTACCGCTCTATCTGCTTTGTTCATGTAATGACGCAATGAAAAATCTAAAAAAGAAGCAGATCCTCTAAAATACTGGTGGCGTCGAGAGGAACAGATCTGACTTCGAAAACAGATTATTTCTCTCTGCAGCTATTATAACGCGTGGGATTATTTAACACTAGATTATATATTTTTAAAGAGAAAAAATTTACCCTATGTCCCATCATTTGAGTTTCTTGACGAATTTATTCATGCTTTATGGAAAAAATTACAGTGGCGTTAGCGGGCGTGGCAAAGCGCTCACCGTGTGGCTGGCTGTAAGCGCATGGTCATAAAGCCAGTTTGAAACAGAAAAAGCCTGAAGCAACTAACATCTGCCCAATTAACGTTGGCTGAATCATCTGGGCAATTGGTGTTCATCTCTATATCATTGTTGGTGTTCTCTTATTGTTTTAAAGGAAACTACCTTGTCACAGAGATGTTTTTCGACAAGTGGTATACATTGTTAAAAACATGGTTCGAGTCCGGCCATTTAGAGAATGGAATAATAACCTGTGCTCTCCCAGTACAGTTACTCCTTGTTTAGCCGCGTATTGTACAGATCGTGCACACGTGTCCTCTGGCTTATTTGTCCCCTAGTTATCCATTGTAAATAGCAATCAACATAGCATCAACTTATTCCGTGGTAATTATTTTTAGTCTATTATTTTAATCTGTATCGATACATTGCCCCTCAGATAAACAAGGTGCAAAAAAGTTTTACTTTAATATCGAAAAAAATATCAGTTGGCTATTCTTCGCCAAAGGCCGTATGTTAGTTTTATTTATACCACCAAGTGAAACATGAAGTGAAAATTTAATCGACATGAATGACATCAAGATACGCATTTCGCAGTAACTCAACTTATTATAGTCAAGTTTATTAATTACTGGGTTCTATAGTTCAAGGTTATACAAAATAAATCTTGTAACCCACCTAACTCAACATAATTACTTGAAAATAATATTTTTCACGGAATGACGTCTATTTCATGATAACATAATGTAGCTTGATAAAAATCACCAATGCTACCTGCCATCTCGTCATCTCAGTTTCTACACATCTGTCGGTTAAAAATCTCTGATTATATTTTCCCGTTTCATTTTCATCGTTACTTAATAAGCTGACTGTCCAGTTCGAGGTTTTCCAGGCTGTAGGTAGCTTTTGGGGTATTTTGGGGATTGATCGCTTGGGCTCTTTTTTTTCAGAAGTACCAAGATGCCACAAATAGACATAGCTTATACTTTTAAAGGGCCTTCTAAGAATCTCGACTCAGACGAAAAGCGACCTATTGGTATCGTATATTTTTCGCAGTATTATAACAGATTTCTTTTCGACAGCAATACATTACGCTATGTATAATTTGTGAATTTATATTATTTCAGTGATAATAGTTCTCTGTGACATATTCATTTGAAAGGAACGTTGCTCTTCCGCATTCGTAGCACCATATTTGTATAATGAATGGTAATGGCTATTAGAATTTGAAAGGTCCATGGAGATATTGACTATTTTCAATCGCTCACCTGGTCATTGGTCTAAGCAGGAAAATATTCCCAAATAAAATTATATGTTACAACTCCACATGTATTTTTTTGTTGACAAACCTACAGCATTTGATTTCTGAATATAAAACTTCGTTCCTTATACTTCGGCCGTAATTGAGGAACTTTTTGGGGACATATCCCGTGAATCTCCATTTACTAAAGTTATTTCACGTAGAGCGCGCTCCGACGTTCTATGAATATAAAAGCTTTATAATGTTATCCTATGCGATTTGAATTAAAGCAATTGTAGCTTACAACAGTACTAACAGAAGGTCTTGATTGGGCTCACCCTTACAGACGTCAATTTCTACTGCAAATTTTTTGTCAAAATAGTTCATGTACTCCATAAAAAAGTTAATATGGGAAGCTACGTTATTTTCAGTTGCTGTGCAAAAGACTGCTTGGATCTTTGTTTTGAGAGCTAAACTGGCACAGAGCTAGTCACAAAGAAACACTTCCCAATCGAATATCATCAATCGACAAATAATTTATTTGTACGCAGTAATCTTACAGAACCGATGCACTGTGCAGCCAAAGAGGTGACCGAGTCATTGATTCGCAGGGAAGACGTTTTTGCCGTCATTGGCCTGCTGTCGTAATGATTAAATAGGTATGGCCAGTCGAAGAGCCATCGAAATCAATTAATGAATCACCATCAGCAGCAGAATAGTGCGATTGCCATCTGCAATCGTTAAACGTCTAAACTGATGGCCGTCAGATCCGTAGCAACCTATATGGGTAGATAGCTGCATCTCGTCAAAACTCGACAAAAGGGTTCCCGGCATGAAGGAAAGCATGAGACGCCTCTAGTAGTATCCTTTAGATACCTGACTTGCTTCCATTGTATCCAAAGAGAGGTTGAGGGAAAAGGAAATACCTTATTGAGAATTCTCTTAAGACTGAGCAAGTATGAGAAGAAATAGGTTGCCTTCACGTTAAAACATGAACATCCATATTTTTTACCTTGTTGACATAAAAAAATATATAAATGTACATGAATTCTGACATTCTGACATTTGCCTGTTACTCCATCCCGCAAAACACCACGATAATCATACAACAGATGCATATTTCTTTCTAATGGACTACATTGTCTGAAGGTCTAATTGATTTAATAGATCCGAGATCCTTACATTACGGCTTTTTAGCTGCTAAAGGTTCACAGTACAAGCTACATTTAGGTACAGAGCAATTTGGACAAAACATTTCTATCAAATGTAATACCATCGTTTCATGGCTGGACGCTTTCTGTCACTTCCATTCGGCACCAATGACTTCATAAAATTTCCTACAAGTGCCGTTTCGGCGCAGCCTGCGCTACAAAATTACGACCGCGTGCTGGTCTTATGTTGGATGGCTTCCTGTTTTCGATCATATGGTTCATTTCAACTGTTAGAAATACGGTAATATGCAATGTGCAAACGTTAGGTAATCCTTTTTTTTTAGGGTTGATATCTGAATCAAACAAAGTGAAATCTCTGATTCTCGGCAAGGCCAGACTTTTTTGTCAACGTACAATTACACATCTGCATTTGAAAAGGTCCTGTATACTCGCTCTGTAACCAAGTCAAACAAGCCTTTTCGTTACCATTACCAATATCTTCAGCTATATGAACACGTTTAAGAAAGCTGTTGTTAGAGCTAAAGGTGCAATATTTCCAGAACGACAATAAATCAGTATCACTTTAGAAAATGGATCAAATTGTTACAAAGAGTTTTCACTTAAGTTGACAACTGTAAAATCACTTAATCCTTAATTTACCGCCAAAAAGATAATTTTCCGTAACCATCTTTTGCGTAGTTAAAAGCGAAACTTTTAGACGGGTGCCCCAATTTTGTTCTTTGATGTGAACGCTGATTCTGTCTCTTGATTCAGGCTGAGACTTAATTAGTTATATAAAAACTTTTTGACATATGCTTGTGACTGCTGGCAATCCAATTCGGCACTTCATATCCGGTCCAAAAACATGACTCCGTTTTGAACTACAAGCTACGAAAATTGACCCACTACAATAAAAAGGAGCTCAGTGAATCATTAACTTTCCTATAGGTAGAAGATTTATAGGTATATATTATCCGTGTTACAGTACCTCGCCCTTCTGAATGACAGCTGCGCTATCTAAAAGAAGCTTGCAACTATGAAGACAAACGTTCCGTTCGAACGCGCTAATGAACACGAGTGCACCTTCATCTTCGATGAGACCAAACTAAGAAAATGAACATTCAATAAGTTTCAACAACTACCTCGTACTTGGGCATTTGAAACAAGTTCAAGAAAGCAGTGAAACGACATTTGTTGTAAATAATTTTTTTAGACTTAACGAAGTATCATAAGGTAGACATTTTAAATAAAGAGTTATGACGTAGGCGCGTTAGATGCCTGAGGGTTTGTGCTAGATGAAAATATATCAACAGCTTTAATAGCCGTTTGCTTTCTGTCTTAGTCCAAATACGTGACCTGGAAGAACCCTAATAGAAACGATTAACAAATAATGTATATAGCATAGATGCATAATAGGCAATGAACATACAACCTATAGGTCTGTTACAGGCAGCCGTTCGCGCGGTTAGCTTTCTACGGGTGAAAAGGATAGATGTTGAGACAAATTAGCTGCTTTTATTTATCAGACAGTTCTCTTCAAGGCAGGAACAGAAAGATCACCTATCGTGACATATGGAGCTAGTTTGACACCAAGAAGACGCGTCATTGGTAGCCGCTTTTTCGGTCTTCAGCCAACTTCACATCTGTTCACTCACCTGCTGTTGTGAGTTTAAATGGACCCCAAATTGCGCGTAGACTCACGCTGGTTTATTACATTGTTAAATGTCGCGTCGATGACAGAGTGGTTTCGTTCTACTGCTACCGACGGCTTTCATTGTACAAAGGTAAGCCAACGCGTAGACCTTCTTCCTTGAATTCTAGTGCACAGATAGTCCGAATCGTCGAAATAATCAAATAAATAAAACTATCACTCCAACTATGTCATCCATTATGTTTCCACTTTCTTGATTGTCGATTATTTATCATGCACCAATTTCGCCAGTCTGTGATGTCATTTTGTGTTATTCTTGCCGCAGCCCGTAGCTCTTCAAAGGCTTCTATCTTCTTATGCTTCAGCAACCATCAAAAATCAATTTTTCTATTTTGAATCTGCTCATTTTTTCCATCTTCTCATCTATCTGGAGCGTTTGTGGTAGTATTCATCGTAGGTTCGATTCCAGCGCACTCTAGCTAATTTTCAGTGTTCAGTAACTGGTCCTTCTTGTTCCGTTGGAATTGTTCTCGCCGGCCCCGGTAAAGGTTCTTCTCCGTTACTCTGTCCTTATTTCTGCAGTACGGTACTTAAGTCGTAGTTTCGATCTGTATGCGCACGACATACTTAGGTCGTAAGTAAACGTAAATTGTACGTTTCGTTAAGCCAACGATCGTTAGATTCAATCTCTCTCTCTCTCCCTTCAACATTTTATTCAATATATATATACACCTGTGCGGCTGGTATTGTATCTTCCGTCGGCAGACGACGGAAGACCAAATCCTGTTGTAGAAATAAGACGAGGGCGTACCAATTTGTTTGTTTAGCTTATTCGAACTACTACAGAATGGGCTACTCAAACTGTGGATGGTGGTCATAGCAGTATTGCATAACGGCCAACAATCCTAGTACTTGTAACAGTACCTTGTAGCAACTTTGCAGTATTATATACTTCCTCTACATACGTTACAGCAACGGAATGACTGACTGTCTTGCTTATCTGGCTTAGTGCAATATTTTCTATCCTTTACGGCAACATTAGCAGCGGCGGGAGCAACGTTGGCGTCATCATCAGTTGCCCGCCTCTCAGCGCGGATGTTTCTTGTCTGTCTGTTCACTTGAGGCCTGCTGTCCTGTTACTGCAGCCGCTACGCCTCCTGGATTGTTTCCCTCCTTCAAGGACCGCGGCCGGCGGCGCTAGTGCTGGTGGTACCTTCTCCTTTCCCCTTTCCCGTGAATGCAGCAGCCGCAGCAGCGGCTTGATCGTCACACTATTCCTCTCCACCCTTCACAACCTATGGAAATAAACTGTGTCAGCAAGCAACGAGCTTTGAGCAAATCTCCAGTATTGCAGACCGGTGTTCACTGACGCCAGAAACAAAGGTCGAAGCTACGTTCATGATTATAGCTGCCGAATACCAACGAGCTAAGTCCCGGACGTAAAACACGGATAGCTGCAAAATGTGAACAAAGTTGAGGTGTCTTAGATTAAAATGGTCGGTAATGAGAAAGCTCTTGAGCATCTTAGCAGAGAAGAAGAGCTGTGTCTCTCGGTTTTTTCAAAGCATCGTATATGTGTAATGGTATTCAACAGCGCCGTTCCGTATGAAACCTTAATCGGGGCAATTTTATATTTAGCAGAAAATCTAGTCCGTCGGTAGAAGCACTTTCGTTGCTTTCGTTTCCTCAAAAAGTGGATGCAGTGGTAACATTTAAATACGTTATTTTTAGAGCAAATATACAGACAAAAGAAAAAAATGTATTTGAAAAATGCATATTTTACGAAACGAGTCGCGCAAGCTCAACAAAGTAAAAGTATCTACAACGATATTTGTATTCTCTAGAAAGAATTCTGAGCAATGGTGGATCACTAATAAGTTGTTCTCTTAAACAAAATTAAAGATCAGCAGAGACGAAATGCTAGATAGATTAGGAGTCTTTTGAGGTTCTGAAAATTTGTACGGATGGTTAAAATTTGTAGAAAAGTAGTATACGAAGCCAAATTCTACTTCAGATTGTAATTTGCCAATAGGTATATATCAATTATTATAATTTTTTTTAAGAAGTGTTTTTTTTATATTTCCATATGTAATTGTATTTCTTCTTCGAGCTCTTATAACTATGAACGAAGGCAGACGTTATTCTGAGTATATTCAAGCAAAGTGACGGATCAAAAGAAACCCATTTTCGATCTATAAGTAAAACACGTCTATTAAATATACACGATTGCATAGTTAGATTCTAAATTCACACAGCTGCAATGGCATGTAATTACGGATAAAAATTTAGTTGAATGCCGAAACGTCAGGAAACTAAAACTAGAGGAATAAGATGTATTCAAGTTTACATCATATGAAAAAATAAGTCGCAAAAGGTTTAAGTTATGTGTGATGTCGCGATAACTAAAACCGCCATCAGCAGCAATTGAATTCTGGTTAAATTTTTAAGAATCACTAGAAGATTACAACGGTAATGTATGTTATTTCTATTTATCATAGATTGCTTTTAAATAATTTGATATATTTTTAACAAAGAAGTCGATGTAAATAAAAATCTGGGGTGAAACTTATACAATCATCCCTCACGCACACTTTCCAATGATGTCAATTGTGCATATGCATATTGAGGGCCCTTCCAGGGCCTCAGTTTAGGAATTACATCCTAAAAAAGTAAGCCGGCCAAAGGAAGCTCGTGTGGATACAATATTTTGGATTAGTAAAGTCTTTTTTACACGCATTAATAAGCTAAAAACCTGACATAACAGTAACAGGTAAATGTTACACTATGGTAGGTAAATGTTAAAGAACACTATAAAGCTGTTCCGATTGGGTTTGTTATGGGTAAGTCAATGAATTCGCAACAAATCTGAATCAATGGATAATATACATGATACATAGATTGATTAGCCAAGTTGGTGGAATCGATCACACACATCTTTATGAATGTTCTATATATAGATATATAAACAAATCTGGATGAATGGCAAATTTCCTGCCTGTCATTAGGAAAGCCGTTAATATTTTTGCCTATCCAAATTGATTATTCGCCTACCAAGGGACACCGCTTCCACGTCAACAGGCTTGCGTATTTTCCGTAAGTTCCGTGCTTCATTTTAAGGAAGATGCACTGAAGGTCTCCTGAATCGAAAAATGGAAAGCTGGCTATTTTTCTAAAAGCTATTGCGACAACCATTCGTTTCACTTGACCTTGATACTATCATTATAAAAAGCAAATATCTAACCAAATGCACTTGAATCAATAATATCCTTACGCAGGACGAGATGTTACTACCCTCTTAGAGTTGTTCATTGCTTCCCGAAAAGCGTTAAACATCGAAAACAATTAGTCTGACAAAGAGAAGCTAACTCATGTAAAAGCATTAAGTGTCGTATAAATATTACATGTTCTTCTAGCCCAAGTGTGCAAACATTTTTATATCTAAATATGATCTCTGAACTGTAATAGACTGCCTACGCTACAGTACAAATACTATCGAGAAAGAACACTCGATGCCCATGTGTTATAGCAATTACATAATTTTTATTTTAATACAAGTTTTTATGGTAAACTATTTAGTTCAAATCGTCTTAAGACGACATCTTTCGTTTATTCACCCTCGAATTGTAATTCGAAATAGCTGGGATCAAAATGGTGGACTCGAACGTAACCGTCTTCTCCTCCAGATGAGTAGCTTTTGCCATCGGGGTGGAATGCAACTGAGTTAATAGGACCGAAATGATCCTTTACACGTCCGAACTCCTCCTCGAAAATGAGATGATAAAACCGAGCATCGAATTTGCCTTGTTTTGCTGAGGTTGTTGTTACGTCGCGGGCTTCCTGTCCGCCACCTAACAGGACATGATAACGGATTGGCGAAATCGCAGCCGAATTGACCGGCCGCTCGGTCTGGAACTTTTTCAACTCTGTGAGCGAATCTGAATCGAGAACTTTGGCCGAGTGATCCTTTGAGGCGGTGATCACCATCGTACAGTCTTTATTATACTGCATATCGTTGATAATACCAGAATGGGTACGTTCACGTTGCATGCGTTTTAATCCCTGTCGGAAGTCCCAAATACAGACTGAGCCGTCTTCGTGGCCTGTGAGTATACCATCGTCGAGATTCCACCACAAAGCTGCAGTCACCTTTGCGTGAACCGATGCAGGACATACGGATACCCTGAGCATATCACCCTGACCCTCTACTTGTGCGGGATCGTTGAAGTCAATAATGGTCATCTCACAGTCTTTGCCCATTGTGTTGTCTGTTGAGTACATGGCATAGCGGCCAGAGTACGAAAACGCGCACGTACGGGCCGCTGTTGTTGTTTGGTGCGTGCTTGTACATTTGCCTGTGAATACGCCATATAAATGTAAAATCTTATATGTCGAGCAACATTAAGCCTTTCTAACCCGCTAGCAATTTACAATAAATATATGATAAATAAATTATCATAGTAACTTAGATATTCTGAATGTAGTGTCATAAAGGTAAACAATCCGCTAGCCAGCAACGGAATTCTCTAATTGCTTTTGAAGACGATGATACTGTAACCGGATATTTATGTCAAACTTTTATATTATATCAAAAAATATTTTCTTACACATCCGGTTAGGTTAATAAAATCTATCCATTTTCTCCGCTTCATTCGATGAGACGTTGTATGCACACAGACCTCACGAACTCACCAGTTTCAAGGTCCCAGAGCCTGACGGTACCTTCGGCGCCTGCTGTGATGACACGAGTCGAATCCCAATTGACGTCGATGCACCAAACCGCACCATTATGCCCTATTAAATTGCCGAGTCGCTCGCCGTTCAGTGAATAGAAAATGTTTGGCTTAGAATCCTTTGCAGCTGTGAAAAGCAAATCGCCTTCTCGGTTGTATTTAATCTGGGTGACGGCCCTTTCATGGCCCTGAAGCATCAACGGACGCTGAAACACAGAATTGGGGTATTGTATAAGAAAAAACATTTTTTGTTAGTTGTATTGCTCGTACTCGACTAGTAGAAAGCTTTACTTAGCTATGGATTCAGGCTTCAGTAAATGAGGCAATGTCAAACAAAAAACATTTAATTTCTGACCTCCGCTTCAACACTACGTCACTCTGGAGATAAGCAATACCCACATTATCAATGCATGACAAAAAAGCGAAAGCCCGAATGCTGAACTTTATATATATATATATATATATAAAGTTCAGCATTCGGGCTTTATATATATATATATATTCATAGAAGCAATAGAAGGATTGGACAAATTAATGGAGATTTTCAAGATTCATTTGTTACTCTTTTTTTTTTTTGGGCTATCTAAAATAATGATAATAAACTTATATGCCACACCGGATGTGTGGCTGTGCAACAACCTCAAGGGCAGCTTCTTAATGACTTTAAAGCGTTCTATGCATCAAGTGGACACTTTTATCGGCAGGTCATTGTTTACCTACAGTAAAAGAAAATGCTAATTGGTAAACAATTTAGCAAGGTTCTGTTGCTTCGCATTACCAAACAACTGACTACAGCATAAAATAGCGCTTGTTTAACAAGTTTCTACTTGACATTAACAGAATCATAAAGAGTCGAATAGTTGCAATAAGGAATCCTTAGCTTCGTACTATTAGCCTGTATTGTTGTACGCAAAGGTGCACTACGATACACCAAGTATTATAGATTGGATAAAAGTCTAGGAACGCCAATCAATATTGCTAGACGGCGAACAATAAATTCGCGCGCGACTAGACAGTCTCATGTTGCAAATGATAAAACCAATAATTCGATGACAGCGGCGAATTTTGACTCAACAAATATTTAGACGGTAGGAGAATGTAACGATTCATATGTTCAGAACCTACATTTGGAAAACGAGCATGAAAAATACTCACAAAATAACACCATATGCGGGTGGGTATATCTTAAGAATACGGAAGCATTTCTGGACATATGTGTGAGGAATCCTTTGCAGGTGACCGCACTATCCCGTTTGAATATTTGTTAACCTGTTTGTTACATTACCGCGAAGCATAACGACCCTGTTAATATCGTAATAGCTCCTGTAAATAGTAGCGACGCTTTGTCTCACTTCACCGTCATCTAAATGCCGCAACTATACAATCAATAGCCTAGTACAGTTTATAGAGAACACATTTAAAAACCTGTTTACTTCAGATATTGATCAGATGGGCACTACAAAGATCAATAATGACTCCACGATGAGCTACTAATACAAACTCGTATTTTTTGTTTTGATTTACTTGTTCTTACGATTCGAACTTGGAGACCAATCAAAACGGACACGCAGCAACCTTTGTTTCAATAGTTATTGAAACGAATTCTATATATTTCTTCATAAAATCTGTCAGAAGCGAAAAAAATGCCAACACATATGTATCAACAATGACTGGGTTGGTGATCTCTGGTGACACGCTTGCTCTGTATCCGGTAGTCTTCGTTTTTTTGGCGCGCTGCTGATACGCAGTGGAGGCTCGTTAAAATGTTACACCTACCATTTTAAAGAGCGGCCTTTGTATGCGTTCGTGGGATCACACTAACACGTAAACCATTAAATACTTGTCAAGCACTGAAGCACGTTGCACGAATGCGGCTTCGAACAAAGATGGCGGTGTGGCGGTGCTGCGCTATTGTTTTTCATTCCGTCTGCAACTGGAGCGAGTGATAGTGCAGCCGGAAGTTATATTGAAACTACACTAAAAATTCCCGCCCGGCGAAACAGTTGACTATTTTCATTCGTAGGAGACTCACGTAGTGCATACTAGCTATTGCTCAGGTTCGTGTCAAGCAACAACTGTTCTGTATATATAAATTATTCTTCATTGTGAGTCTTCTATAGGAAGTTGCTAATTCAGGCGGATTTCGTCTCGGCTGATGTTTGCCAATACACTAGTATGATTGATTCGAGAGAATCAATAATTCGGCCATCAAGGAAAAGAAGTAGCAGGTATTAATTTTCGAATATGCACTGTAATAGCCGCGACTTTACGCCCTTGATAAGGACCTTGCATTGTATGATTGGCGTAAAGGCCTCTCGGTGGCAGTTTGTTTAGTTTTTGAAAGGAATGAAAGTTGGGTAATCGTGTGTCGTCTGCATCGTGTGATATGTTTGCAGTGAAAAAGTAAATGAGCAACGTTTGTGTACTAAGTTCTCTGTTGTGCACATTTTATATTTTCGCGTCCCATCTGGCGCTGGTTTAGAAATTCGTTGGCGCCGGTCGCCCTGTTGCCATGTTCTCTATACTTCAGCCACCTGCGGTTCCATCGTTGGTTCAGCTGTGCACCGGTGGACGGACCCCGGTCCGGACAGGCCGTGAGACCACCCAAACGGCCGCTTCTGACCTGCAGGTCATCAGTTTTCATAACACTTTTCAGTGGTTCAGCCAGAGTAGGCTTTGCGCGTCCCTGCTAAGGAGCAAGGATGAGTTACAACGGGCGCTGTTCTATACTCCCGCCGTCAGGGAAGAGGTTACTGTGCAAAACTCTTGTTCATGGCCAGCTAATTACGAATCGTATAGCCTCGGCCGGTTAGGCTTGTACCGGTCAGCTTTGCTACGGAGTCCGCTTGAGAAAGTCAATATTGGCGGAAGCAGCACTACGCGCGGGTTTAAAACAAAAGCGTCAATGGCCAGGGAGGGCTACGGATCGGGCTTCACGTCGCCATCGGATATCTTCCGTAGCATAAGGAAGGATGATAGCTCAAAGAAAATTGACAAGACAGACAAACTCAAACATTTTCGTTCCTACATACAAGATTCGTCTCTATCCGCTGAGGAACAGGCACGCCTTCGAATAGCTTTTGCCGAAGGCTACGCGTCTGGAAATGGTAAGGCCGCACCGAAATTGAAACTCTTCACCACCATCCGGGACATACTGGGTATAACGCTAATCCTCGCTGCATTGTTCGTATTTCTTGGTGGACCCATCCGACGTGTCATAATAGGCTCTTCAAATGAAGTCCTTCCCGAAGAGATCGAGGTATCGTTTCAGGATGTGAGAGGCGCGGACGAGGCCAAACAAGAATTGCAAGAAATTGTTGAGTTCCTCCGTAATCCAGAGAAGTTCTCGGCACTTGGTGGCAAATTGCCAAAAGGCGTTCTTCTCGTGGGTCCACCGGGCACCGGCAAGACACTTTTGGCGCGAGCCGTTGCAGGGGAAGCCGGAGTACCGTTTTTCCATGCTGCTGGCCCAGAATTCGACGAGCTTCTTGTTGGACAGGGCGCTCGCCGAGTGCGTGATCTTTTTCAAACTGCGAAGGCTCGTGCTCCATGTGTAATCTTTATTGACGAGATCGACTCGGTTGGCGCCAAGAGAACCAATTCGGTGCTGCATCCGTACGCAAATCAAACTATTAATCAACTACTCACAGAAATGGATGGTTTCCGGCAGAATGAAGGCGTAATAGTTCTGGGAGCCACCAATCGTCGCGACGATCTCGACAAGGCCCTTCTACGTCCAGGTCGCTTCGATGTCGAGGTTCAAGTGCAAACTCCTGATCTAGAGGGGCGTAAAGATATCTTAGAACATTATTTAGCGAAAGTGACACTCGGTAAAGATATAAGCGTCGACTATCTGGCACGAGGTACAACAGGGTTCACTGGAGCAGATATTGAGAACATGGTTAATCAAGCGGCATTACGAGCCGCCATGGATGGTAAGGACGCAGTAACAATGCAGTATTTCGAAAACGCGCGGGATAAGGTGCTTATGGGGCCAGAACGCAAAAGCCGTATACCGGACGAAGAGGCTAACCTTATTACCGCCTACCATGAAGGAGGGCATGCTCTCGTTTCATTTTATACCAAAAATCATAGCCCATTGCACAAGGTTACAATAATCCCCCGTGGGCCCTCTCTCGGTCATACAGCCTACATCCCTGAGAAGGAGAAGTACCATGAAACAAAAGCACAATTAATGGCCACCTTGGACACCTTGATGGGAGGCCGGGCTGCTGAGGAATTAATTTTTGGGCCTGAGAAGATTACCTCGGGCGCTTCATCGGACCTGTTGCGCGCCACTATAATAGCTAAAAAGATGGTGAAGATGTGGGGCATGTCTGAATCTGTCGGAGTTCGTACATTCCCTGAAGAGCAGGACTCTCTCGTCGTCGTTAATGACTTGGCAAACACAACGGCAGAGCTTATTGATCAAGAAATCAAACGTATCCTTAACGAGTCTATGGAGAGGGCTAAGCACATTCTCAAGACGCACCAGCGAGAACTTAAGTTAGTCCTTTTAGCTACGAATAGCTTCTAGCTCATTATATTTATCGGTAAAGCCTTAAGCTCATGTTTTTGCGTCTCTTTGTAGATATAAACTGAACTTTTTGTGATATAAAACTTTCGTTATTGATAACGTTGGCATTTTCGTCTCAGCAATGTCTTCGTTAGTGTAACACAAATATCAAAAAGTCCATGATGATATTTAAGCTATATCTTCTTCCAACTGTATAATTATAGCGTTCCTGACACTTAGGTTGCTTACCTGTCGGTCTGTGTATAGGCTAATCTTATTTAACTCTATGTGATAGTCGGTCCTTTTACTCGCGAACAGCTAACTCTCGCTAGATACTGTTTCCACGTACCTATAGGTCGCATTTAAGTACAATAATAGAATCAGGAATACATCGATATATCGTTTTGTTAAATTGCAGATTATTAGCTGAAGCGTTAATGAAGTACGAGACCCTCGATGCGAAGGAAGTAAAAGTTCTTCTCGAACAGGGCGAGTTTAAGCGCTGACAGGTAACACCTAGTGCATTAGATGAATATAGAAGAAGCAAGTTCAGTAAGGATTGTCCCCGATTTATCACTATTCGGCCGAGAGCGGACGAAGATCTGAGCCTTTCTCGCTACATGAGGGTTGGCCGAGTCACAGCCACATGGCGACGTCATCGCAGACGCTCCAGAGTCTTCGTAACATCTATGTTACTATACTGTCTGCGACTGTTTACTCGTTTTAGGACTACCGAACGATAGATCAAACGGCGTGCTGTTGTATAGAGCTATATATAATTAAATATATAAAGTACAGTAGGACACACAGAAATTTTGGGAAAGGCGTGAAAAGCCAATATTAAAGTGGAAGAAAAAATTATATGATGAGTTAAACATCCTACTTTTACAAACATTATGTGGCTTTTGTCTTTACTTCTAATTAGTTTTTAAATGAAATGTTTAAAATATATACATATTTATGCACTCGTTCTTGTCTTATCATACTTGAGAAGAAATAGTTGTATTTTATTTAAAATGTTCATATTTTATTATCCTTACTCTCATCTATTATCGTACGATCTGTTATCGTCGTCGCTTGATTTCTTTCTAAGCATCGTTTTCCCCCTAGTCCTAATCATCATCATAATCGTCATCTGTGGTTCGCTTTCACCGACATAATTTGTCTTTCTGTGTACCCGTCATTACCTTTAACCTTTCAATATCTAAGATTAGTATTTGAAAATATTTACAACAATGCTCTGCTCCCGTGTACCCCCGAACGGATCACAGGGCAGTATATACAGCAATCCTTTTCTACTTCAGCTATCCTGTACGTCGTTTCCGTTATATGTCGTTTAGTCATCCTCCTTCCCGACTTCGCTTTTTCTTCAAATGCCCTTTGCCACTTTGGCAAAGCTTTTTGCTTTTTTGCCTCTTATAATTGAGTCTCGTCTTCACACTTTTTACGAACGTTTGCTGTGCAAAGAATCTAACGGTATCGTCGTCAGTTACAGTAGTTAGCTCTTCGTCACTGACGGTGATTTATAAACTTGTTTTCATTAAAGCAGAAAAATTATCAATTTCTTTTTTCAAGCTGATCAGTATTCCTACTGTCTTCCCGAGTCATGCTTTTGGTTCTTTCCTGTCATCCTAATAGCAAAAATGATACAATTCTGCTCGTCGGCGAGCAAATGTAGTACCTATGTTTTTTATATTCCTTTGTTTCAGTCGACGACCTCAGGTAATCCTGTTGATGGATTCTTATACTTATTTCACTCTACCCCTTTATAATTTTGCTGTATTGAATAACGGTTGGCCATTGCCATTTCCACGGCTTGCACTCGTTAACTCGTTAACACGTTATCATTTCTTTTGTTATTCGTCTTTATTATTATTGTTGGTATACTGTTACAATCAACTTAACATATATATCGCATATTTGAAAATTTTACCTCTTTATCCTGCTGTGTGCACCTTCACCATCGTTCACAGACGAATCTCTACGTTTCGTTGCCTCACTGTTCGTGTTTTTCTTCTTACATAGACATGTTTTTTCGTTTATATAAGAAAAAACCTAATAACATTTACCACTTGCACCTACTCGAATGCGAAAGACGCCGCAGTAACAACACAACATCGTGCGACGGGTCTAGCCTGTTCTTTGTCCCACGCTGACTATATCAACTGATCAAGATTTCTCACATTTATTTGGTTGTCTGTAAATATATGTGTGCCTGGATTGCTGAGCGTTCGTACTTTCTGAAATTGACTATAGATCTCGCATAATCATTGATAATATACTATCTTCGTAAATTTCATTTGTGTGTGCCATTTCTTTAAGTAGCATGTGGCTTCAACGTTCAGTGCCTGATCATTCTTCGTTACTATAATTATTATGTAGTAGCGTGTATTGTGCTTTTTGAGATTTGTTGGGCTCATCTTCGTTATCATAATAAGTAAAGTATCGAAAATAGACGACTATCTTTCATAAGCAATCTATCAGTAGAAACATATAAGATCAGAAGTGATCGACGAAATAAGAATATCTTCATATATAAAACTATAGAGTGTAAATAAAGAAAGTTGTTTCATATCTAAGTGTGATTGTAATAATATAGCCATAGCACTAAGAATATTTGCTGTGTCATATATCTGAGTGCAGTAGCCTGCCGCATGTGACCACCCTATAGCGAATGTTCAGGCCCATAAATAGCATGTTATCGGTAGCGTAGAATAGATCATGAGTGTCAGCTCTGATCACACCGACATTTTTTTTTTAACTATTTTCCGGACTACCATTAATTTTTGTATGTCACGTTGCTCATCTTCACTCATCTTCTATTGCTAACGCTTAGTTACGACAGTTAACTCCAATTTACCGCAACAAGTTGTAAAACCTCACTGGCCATCACGCATTTTCCTACACGTTCCAAAAACAGGCCTTTTCAATGTTCAATCAGATTTGTTCTGAAATCAACCATTTCTAAGTGAAGTCTTTAATGTGTGCTTGTGCTTCCATCTTTTTTGCTGTTACCACATACACGTAACCAATTATTCGCAATCTTGAAATTAGTCTTTTTCTCTCTCTCTCTCTCTGCCTAAATATGTAAGGCATCATATAATCAGTCCCTCATCACTATCATCACTTATCTATAAAAGTATCGGCAGCCCGGGTAAGGGCTGCTGTTGCTTGACATTGTGTCTGTTGCGCTGCCAATGTGGCTACATTTTTTTCAAGAACGCAAAGCTAAATATGCATACTTTTATCTGTTGTGCTTCTTTCTTTTTCTACTTTCTCTCTTAAACCATTGATCCTGATATTGTTGTAGTGTTGTTTCTGTTGTTGTTGTTGCTGCTATCGCGGTGGCTTACGTGCGATATTTAGCTACGCGATTTTCCCGCTAGGACTCAGCCCCCAACTCACTACTGGTCCTCCTTACTTCCATTGCTGGCCGTCTCCTTGATCTCTTTAGGTTGTACGGAGTTGGGCAGAGGCAGAGGGTTAACGTCCTGGTCAGGATTAAAAGATATTTGTCCATTGTCACCAGCATCGCCTTCTGGGCCGCCCTCCTCGTATACCGGCGGACTTTGCGGCGACGCTGGCGTGGACGCAGGTAGTGATGGTCTGTCGACTGTGGGAGATTGCCGTACGGCCATAACAGGCTTTCGAGTCTTTTCACCCTTGCGCCACAGAATTATTTCCTTAAATATGCCACAGCAAAGTTTAGTTTAACACTCGTTATACAATAAATGGAATTATAGCTATGTAAAGATATTATGTAAGGGTGTCGCAAAATTGGAGGTAAATCTTTTAAAGAATGATAAAGCTCAATGCATAAAGTACTTTTTCCAGAGGGACAATAGAGCGCCAATTTAACATGTTACCGCTGAAAATAAAATTTATCAGAAAGCGACATAGTACATATTTTTAGGAACAGCCAGTTGATCCAAAGTGACTATTACTTAAACACTTTCCATCGTTTCTGTAGGTAAGATTCTGCTGCTTCCTCATCAATAAAGTTAGCGAAATGTTCAAATAAGCTGTGGTGAACTATAACATATTATTTTCTAAACACAATCGAGTATCTTTGCTGAGTAGTTAGTAACTCGAAGTTAAGCTATCTAGTGATAGCTAGGGTGACCTTACAACAATGTCGAAACAGGGATCGTTAAGTATGCCCTTGACGGCGGCGATAGAAGGACATCATTGGTTGGGTATTTCGGAGACTGTTCTTGATTGAGACACTACGCATAATAATAAATTATATGACCTGTTGACCACAATGAAGATTCTTCCCAAATACAAGTGACAGGTAACTATGCCTACTGTTGGTATTGACCATTATAGGCTATAAAAAATGGCTAACCGTAATGATGTACTATTATTTACTATTTTCAATTAACTGACTAGGAATAGGTATTAGTAAGATAGTAAGTTCTTATAAACATAATGCTTAGTTTCTCTGGTAAGAAAGTAATTTTCACATAGTTACATGTTTCCTTAATTGATATCTGGCATGTTACTTTTTTCACAAATATCAATCTGCAAAGGTGAAATAATATACATTTTTCATGACTCTACTGGGTCTATCTATAAATATGAGTTCGAATTTAATGCTGTTCCTGCTATGACGTACAAACCTGCTGCTTGAAATATCGTCGCTCTTCTTCATCGACGAGCACAAGATTAAGATAGTACCTTACGGAAAATTTCTTGTTAATATCTTTCATAGTTGGTGTCAATTCATAACCCGAAAGGAATAGCCTGTGGAGAAAGCAACAACATGGTACGTCAAGGGATTGAGTATTTAGGACAGAGATACTGAATACATGTTTAGATATTTTTAATTCATCATTCCGCAAAAGCCATGATAAACAATTTCCCGAACAAGGGTAGAACTCAATAACAATCCGAAATCCTGTATATGACGAGTCGGCGACCTGAGCCCATCGACTCACCCTGTAGTCAATCTCAATCAGCAATCGATGGATATATATTATAATAGGATAGATATATAGAATGTGTATTAAAGTACAAGTATCAATACATACCTGATGGGTATGCTTTCTCCGCGGACGGGCGCTCCATCCATGATCTCATACTTCGCGATCGTTTCGTTCTCGGTGAATGTGTTCGGTCCGGCCCCTGTTGTTTCGCGTTTGATAATTGCTATTTCCATGTGCTTAATCTTAATCCGAACCTAAACGAAGAAGTCGGGGATGCTTAGTAAATTTTAAATCATAACGCAATTTATTAGGAATAGTCAAGAAAAAAGGAAACAGGCAATGTGATCGTTATCCGTGGCACAGTAAAAGCCAATTAGTTAGCCAGTTACATCGTGGGGAAACTAAACACATACTACAGCGATCACTTTAGCACCGATAGCATTGATAATGACGCTAGTAAGCTTAGGCACAGAAATTTTAGTTGCCTGAGATGTGTTTAATCTTACGAGTAAGAAGTAGATTTTGCCAACGATGACGTCTTTCAGATGGTATTTGCTTTTGTTGTACTCAAACTCGATATGAAGGCAATCTTCGATTCCAACTTCCATCTTAATCGACGAATTAATGTCTGGATACGATGACAAGGTATGCACTGCGAGTTCAAGTTCTTTAATTGTGTCCGTAAGACGTCGCACAATAGTCACCCGAAGAAAATACCTGTATTGCGCAAAAATGCAGCCAAACAGATCGCATTGCAGGCTGCGGTAAGTAATATTGCCAAAAAATATCACGTTTTATCCGTGACGTTTTCATTATTTATTTACCCCAATATATCTGTTCTTGGCGCTGAGTGACTCAAAGAAAGCAGCCATGTGTACACTATAAGCTGATCATTCATTGTTACATAAGAACGAATACGTCAAGTAGAAGTTTCCCTGACCATCTTTTAGTGCAGCAGACTTTGTCTAGAACAGTTTACCGTTGTTCCTTACACATCTATCATTACACAAACAATACACAGTAAATTGTAAATCTGTGCTATACTCTGCAAAAAGAACAAAATCGTCATAGAAAGGTAGCCTCGTAATGGATACAACACTCGACTTAAAAACAGTTAGTGAAAAATCAAAGATCTAATAGTTTTTTTCTAGGTGTACACTGTAACGCAGTTCTTGCCCCCTCACCTCAAGGCTTGTTGCTACACATGTGGAGAACGCTTTAAGTATTATTTGGGCCGTTATAGTGGTAACATTGTTTTGTTGGGCGTTCAATGACTTTTAGTGCCGTAGTTCATGTACAGAAAAAACAACAAACAAATATACAGCATATCATCGCACCATATTATAGATATGTTTCTGATTTACAATAAAAAAAAACACAAACGCTTAGCAGAGAATGGCTTAACAGGGAGGATATGTTAGTATCCAACCCGCGAAGAAGATTTTTCGTGTGATTTTGACCCGAATTTTGGTCAGTGTCTACACACACAAACAAAATCATAGCAGTTGAAGTCAACTAGACAGGGTTTAAATATATCATGCAGCCAGCACTGGTAGCAGAATCGATCACTATGGTATACGATTATCATGCCGTTTTATAAATGTGTTGGAACAATCTTACATAAGGTCACATCTCCCATTTCAGGGAGATGTTCTAGTAGGGCAAGTTTTTCGGAAAGAGAGAGAGTTTCGGAAGAGCTGATTTCAGGTTCACAAAGTAGGAACGGAAAGCGGCGTTAAAATAAAGCAAGTTCTAGTCAAGCTTTTATAACAGTTAGTGGCAACGTGAGGCGTAGATGCTATCGCAACGGTAAACATAGCACAACTACATATAATTTTGAGTTTAATATATACAAACGGTAGAAACACAAAAAATAACTCCCTAGAGTGCCAGTTCTGCGTCTTTCCATGCATGTGAACAGTTATTAAGAAATCGCTAGCAAAAACGCGAAAGTAGCTTTGTTCACGTAAATTTCTCGGAATTGATCATTGAATGTACACGCTGGTAAGGTACTCATCCGGAGAAGCTGTCAAAAAAAGCAACTGATGTTTGTGAGCAATTGAACTGAATGGCTAAGCGACTATAAGTGAAAATTTCTTGAATTCGACTCTTACCTGAGACGTACGTTGGCGCCAGTATAGCTTTCATAGGGCTTTTCAACATTATGGAATTCGAATGGGAAGCTCGTGTTTTGAATAAGGTCCCCTGGCCGAGCGAGCTCCTTCGAGATCGATGTAAATTCGTGATGATTTCCCCGATCGTAGTATAATTCGATGAGTCCAATAAGCTCGATTTTAATGCCTTGATGTTCGAGGCGAGAACCTGCTTTGCGCAAGGATACGTTCACTTTACCTAAAGAAATGTCGCAGTAAAATAAAAAGGAATTAACGCAAGTTTGTTTTTACACTGAAATAGGTTATGGAACCATGGTTACGTACACTGTCTATTGAACAAGTCGTCAATCGGAAGCTTCTCTTTGTTTGTCCTGTATTTCGTGACGTACGTAAACGACTACACATTTGAAGCCACAGGACCTTCTTTTCTGTTTCTTTAGAATTAAAGGAAGCTATTACGAAAATAAACTCGTTCGAGGCATTGTGTTCACAAGAGGAAAACGAGACAAATGCTTAGAGTTGTTCATTCACTACAGCTTAGACATCCAACAAACCAAACGTACATAACCGCGTCACATATTCAGCTCTACTTGAATAATTACCGAAGATTTATTCCAACTGTGCGAAGAAGACGCATTTGATAAAGATGTACGCTGATTGGTTTTGTGCAACGCCGTTGACATTTCACAACTATTTACATGTGCATGCGAGTAATTCGTAACATACGTCTCTAACAGAACGTATGTGTATAATAAACCATAAAAAGATGTGCACGATGTTGTACATACCGGAAACAGACTCTCCATCGTAGTAGAGAAAGTGTTTTTCTTTTTTTCCGTCTTCGGTTTTGATCTCTGCGAGTTGACGAGTCTGCGTGCCATCGAGCACGATGTCGATGTCCGCGCTCTGGCCAAATCCCAAAAACGCCTATCAACATCGAGTAGTAAAGTCCGGCCGGTACCATTTCGAACACACGTTACGGTAGTTGATTGGATTGCAGAGCCGATAAACCACAGATAACACGGGTTTGCAAAATAAATAAAATGATCGCAGCGGGATCGTTAGTACCACCACAATAATGCGAGAACAAACTAACAAACCAAAATCCATATTATCTGGAGGTAAATTAGAGCAATATCAATTTAATCAAGGATTATATAAAAACTGTTTAAAGCAGTACTTTAATGCCCAATATCCACTCCACAAAACTGCATCGCGCTGTTGAAGCATGCAGGCCAGCAAAGAAGCTTGCAATACTGAGCTTTGAGCGATTTTTATATTTAATTCCATGTTGAGGATCATCTCAAAAAAGGACGACCCCTAAACATCGGCTACGCTAGCGCGAAGTGTCACTAATCAAGATTATTTTATCCGCAAAAAATCAAAACCTGAGCCACTCTGTAAATGGTTGTGCAATACATACGATAGGCTTTCCGTATTTGAGGGGACTATATTATGTACGTACACCATGATAAAAAAACGTACTGCTTTTATAGAGGAAATGTTAAAATCTCAGCGTCCTTTCATAACCCTGCCGACGCCACTACGAAGTCCATCGATGAAAACACATTCTAACTGTTAAACGGTCTCTGTCAGCTCTATCTCGCCTTTCTGGGTAAGTAAAACATGTTTTCCTGGGAAGCACTAAGACAACATCTCCACCCTAGGGATTAAATTGACTCAACAATTAAGTTGACAATGTAAAATTAGGGATTCACTTATTCCATTTGTAAGGCAGAGCAATTGAACGTATGTCGTTATGCAAAACTTCAACTAAATTCACCCAGTCATAAAAAAATTCAAAGGTTATTGTACTCGTTACGTATCATCCACCATAAAAAAGCCCAGGTCAGACACAGTCAAACCACTGTAAGTAAAGACTTCAGCTTCACAACCAATGAATGATTTCTAATTCGTACCGATTGCGATGCATGCGTAAATATTCTTAATTGCAAGCCTACGAAGTTCCTTCTTTACTCAAACAGACTTTTATAGCATGATTCAGGGCGTTCTCTTAAAACGCTCAAATGAGATGGTCCAAATGCGTACCATGTAAAAAAATGTGGCGAAGTATTCAGAGCTAAACAGAGGGTGCACAGAAAAAACGTAAAATTATTCACGATAATTCATTATTCCTTTTATCCACAGTGCAGAAGGAGCGTCTACAGAGACAACGTATAATTGAGCTCTCTAAGATTTAAATGATTATACAAAACAGCGTCATTTTTTTTCTCGTCAAAAAATGATTGTGTACACCTTTCATTGAATTATAAAGAAGTGTTAGGTCTCATGGTAAAACAATCATAAAATAACATTTTCACCACACTATTGTACTCCTATTCAGACCACGAGTATATCCGTTAATTCACCAGTTCACATCTTCATCAACTGAGGCACAACATAGCCTTTTGGCATGATCCGTACAATTACTAGCACAACTGTTGCCTTGCTCCCAAAGTACCATTTTTGATTCGTGTCAGACGTATGCAGATCGGATTAGTATTTGGTATTCGTCTCCAGCAGTATTATCTACATAGTTGTAGTTGGCTATAAAGGTAATTGGTATCTTGTCGTAGTCGAACAACGACAGGTGAATAGCACACTTAATACGATGAGTTCTAGCAATCGTAATAATTTCGACCAATTTTTGTGCAGCCCGACAAACTTTTCTTACAAAGAACACCACCTGACCGCTGTTCACTCCACACTCCTACCACGACTTATACTGCTATTAATTCACATTGACAAGACAGCTTCGGGGGCGTTCTGCCGAGACAATGGAATTTTTCGCAGGTACGATTGCGATGACAACAACGGCGCTGGCCTGGCTGGGACTGACTGGTTGGTCAGTTGATAATGCTATTGAACAGGGGGATCCCGACTCTTGTCTCTTGGAATGCCGTGTGATTGTAAGCTCTACGTGAAATGACTGCCCTAACAGGATCTATCGCTATGTGCTTATTTTCATCGTACCCCACGAAACGTCTAAGTTCTCTGAGGGTGGCTTACCATTTCGCGGCTAGAGACGACAATATCAAAAAAGAAGACACGATCAGATGACAGACCGTCAAAAGCTCGTAGGTTCAACACACACAATAAAGAACTAACCGCTCAATAACATGGCCGCTGGATGTTTCATGCGCTGATTTTAATTACAACAACGCGGTTTACTGTACATCAATACGATCACCTTGTTACCCTACCATCATTAATAAATTCGGTTTCGATATCACGGCGAATAAGAAATTCTACCGGAATTATTAATGGGTTCGTAGTCTATTTAAAGGTTGGCGCAGGTCGTCTGCCGGCACATCCGTCTATTGTTTTGGGGGGCTCCGTGTGCATCCAGTGAGTGCCCTAAACACGTTATTGGGCTTTCCTCGTAGACAATCCCTTTCTGCTACCCACTGCCCTCTCTCACGTCTTATGGTTACCCTCTCTGCTTGTATAGGAAGACAGCCACAGCTGATGAAGAAAGACTCGCGAGTCGTTGTCTTCGCTTCTAAGTTAGGGATCTAGCCAAAATAAGTGGAAATAGTGACAGTAGCGTATTTGTGTGCGTGTGAAGTGGACATTATTTACGTCGCGTTCCAACACCTTCGGTTAGAAGGTACTAGACACGCACGCAACAATGTGCAAGAAGGAACAGAGCACTTTTGCCAAATTATACCTGACTGCGTACAATGGGCTGCAGGCTGCCAGGTTTGTCTATTTCTTTTGTCGGCACACGTGTGTCAACCATGCACTGTATACAAGTGACCTAATGTCTTTGCCGACAAGCAGGACACACCGCGATGCAAACAATAATTACTGGTATAACTTAGGTTTGCCTGAATACCGATTACCGACCTGGACGGGTGCACGAAAGCTGCCCCTTCGCGTAATATAGAAGTGGTTACCGATAAAAAAAAATGCCAGGTTTTTCATAAGTCATTTTTTCGTCTTGTTGGCGCACATATTACTCTTCGCATAGTAAAACATCGTATGTTGGCGCGTCTGTGTTGGATAGAGTAGAAGCGTTACTCAATGATCGAATCCTTATCTATTTCGTGTAGCCGTTTCATCCTATTCACTGTATCGGGAAAAAATAGAATTCATTATACTAGTACCTCGAGTTCGAATTATCAGACTGCGATTGTGTCAAGGAACGGAATGTCTGTGTTAATTGATATAATAACACTCCAAACTCACCTCACTGTAGCATATACCATGTAAATGCAAGCATAAGGCAATGTATTATTATAATAACGAAGTGAAAGCAAGCTTACGACTCATCTAAGCTTAAAGCGCAGAAAAACCGGATGAAGGGATCTGCATTTGCAGAATTTTAATAAAATGTGTCAAACAGCATCGATGAAAGCAATTAATAAATTAGCTAACCGAATTGCATTTGATCTACAACTCCTCAGGAACGCGAGATTGTGGTATCACGAGCTACAAGCTTATGTTTAATTGTAACGAACAGCAATAGGCACATGTAGGAATAAATACACTATAGACACCAGGACGTTCACTACACGTAGCTACTTAACTACCTTTGACTATTATGAGTGTTATAGTTCCAGTGCTCTTTTGTCTGTCGAAAAAGTCAGGAAATAAAACGGAATGAATTTTCTTGAAGGTTAAAAAGGTATTACAGCAATATAACGAAGAAGCAATATAATGAAGAAGCAAGAGCAGGTCCAATGAAACAGCAAGTGAAAGGTGATGGAATGGAGAATGATGGTTGTCAGAATAGACCTAATAGCGTCAATCGAATCCATGTTTCTGACACAATTCAAGTGATCCAAATTATTTAAATGTTCAAGTGGAGTTTACAAAAACCAGCTACTTGAGCACAACTACAGTACAATGAGTGACATAATGCAATGTAAGTTAATTCTGTTCTATATAGGTAATGTCTATGTTAATTAAAATAATAACGCTTCAAACTCACCCTACTGCAGACCAAAAGGTCATTTGGGCTAGCGTAATACTTTACCAAACCATCTATATATGTTTTTGTTCTTCATAAATTACAATTGACGTTTTTGAATAATTAAAAAAATATTAGAGTAAAATTACGTGAAGAATGCAATATTTAACTTCTCTTGGCTCCATTGTCGCGTTATCAAAAAATAAAGGACTAGCGCTTTAAATTTTCCTTTACTCGTAGAATTTTCCTTGAACACATCCTGTTGCGCCCGGTCGGTTTGTGCCACCAGATGGTGTAAGCTCCCGTGAAGAGAAACATCCATCACCTGACCTTATACAAGTAAAATATGTTGGCAAATACTGTGGTAACAGGTGGCCTCTTTTGGGACTTTGGAACCCATAGCGCGATGAATTCACAAATCAAACAGCACCTCAATAATCAAAATAAAACTGAACGATGTCTGAAGCTGCATGTTCGAAGCACGTTAGGCCAGTTTTTTGATAATTCAACCATGTAAATGATGTTAGTTATCCTGACCGAGTCTGCCATTATCGGATTAACCATTGGCATAAGAAATAATGACAAACGTTTCGACGGCCAGTGTGTGCATAGCGGTTCAGGTGCAATAAAATATGTAGTTCCGAAATGTGGAAATCGAAAATTACTTTATACATGTTATATATATTAATATATATATAATATTTTTCATAATACAGTGTTATCTAGGTAACATTTGTCTAAAAACATACCATATGAGACACGTAACAAGTAATTGACTGCTCTTATTTGGTATTCTTTCGGACGTGAGCCGTTAATCAAGACGCAAATGCTTTTTTTATTTCTAATTTCCTTCTGATAATTTACCCCGTTATATGAATCAACGTGGCTGACGCTTAGAATTAGTATTCGTACTCTGGTGGCAGTCAAAGGTAGTTGAGATGCTCCTACGATTTGCTTCGGGAAACTAGGAATACTTCTATGAGAAACATGTATATTTTTCACAAAACGGAAACAGCTATATGTATTTAGAAAGTAATCTGAGGTGTAAAGTTATGACAATAACACTTCTGAAGCTAGATATCTAATTACATTGATAGTGAAATAAGTAAACTAATCAAATCAATATATTTCAGGTACATTTTGTAAGCCATAAGGAAAGATTCAATTATCTAACACCGCAACTTTAGACTACCTTCTAACAGATCATCTCATTTCGCATTTCCAGCTGGAGCTACGTTTTGATTAAATCATTATCGTTTATGTTTGAGAAACAATGTTATAAAGGAGCTTTCGGGAATATTGAACTGGAGTTGGGTGTAGCTCAAACGGCTGGTGTTATGGAAGTCGTTCACGGTGTTACAGGGCTCGTCAGGTAAAGACAATATCTATTTCACATGAATACACCTATAAGCCTAATTTAATTATATTTTGAACACTTTTTATCACTCTTGTAAGTATATGTAACAGACGAAGCCGGGTTTTCTTTTATCTGCAGTAATCAAATAAATGTACATTTTACTATGTTGACGTGGAATTTTGTAGCGACAAGTGGCTTCGCGTTATAGGTATTGATAACAAGTATGAGGTAATTGACCAGCATTGTATATTCAAATTTTTTGTTGTAAGAAACAATACTAGAGTTCATTTGTTGAGTTCTGCTACAGAAGTATCATGCTATTTTATATGCTATTATTTTATGTACGAAAGTACATGTGCGCATACTTAAGTATCCGTAAACACTTTCGAGTTTTCTAAGATCCTGCCAACAGAAAGAAAGCTAGTTTTGTCTCACAAAAAGTTCTGCAAAAGACTTTGTCGTGACTATTCTTTTCATTTATAACCAAAACTCTGCCAAAACCAAATGTGCGAATTATTACACACCGCTCATTCGGTACTATTGTATCTGACCTTAATGTAGCCGCAACTATAGTCTTCTCTTTATATGTTAAATGACAAAAAATCGTCGCAAGTCTTTACAATTAGTTGGGAACTGCTGTAAAAGGGAACTAGTAAGAGTTACTACTATTGGGCATGTTCGTTTTTAGAGCAAATCCGTTGCTGACATTTATACAAATGCTGTCGAGAATTGTGGTGTACTGGGGAATCCTCGTTGCCGTGCCGGAGTCCCGCTTACAGATCGGTTAGTATGTGTGTGCATGACGCAATGTATATCCAAATAGTGTTTGCTAAAAAAGAGTAACTGTCAGCTAAAAATGGTTTCACTGGTAAGGGTCAATGTAATGAATTAATTGAAAAGGAATTCATTTAATGAATTATTAAATAATTAGATTGATTAATAAGAATTATTATTAATAATGAATTAAATATTATGCACGTAACAAATATATATGTTATTTAACCATTTATCTATAATAACAATATTTGGAAAATATTTTTTTATTTTAGCTAAATGACTTGTTACTAATAACAAGGCACGTTAAGAACAATGACATTTTTGTATGTTATTTTAGGTCTCCCAATGTTATTAGTGGCGTGGAGTATTGCAGAGATAACGCGTTATCTCTTTTACGGGTTGAGTTTGTACAATGCGTGTCCCCCGATTCTCACGTGGTGCAGATATTCGTTTTTCATCATCCTTTACCCAATTGGAGTGAGCGTAAGTCTCTTGGGAACGTCTTTCTGTCATATATTTGTATATAAATGTTAAGTTTATTAAACTTAGACTTTTCTACTGGTCGCCTGCAGCCTCACGAATGCATTCATCCGAAACTAGCAAGGCAGAAAAGTCTTAATAGGGATCGGATTGAAGAGAGTAGAAAATACACTAAAATGTCGCAAAAAGCGATTCTTAAGTTCATTAATTTTTAACGCGGAAATAACGTCTGTTTTGAATAGAAGCATATTAATCTCCAATTCGGTTGCCCAGATGAGCTCCAACCGTTAGATTTTTCGAGAGCTTTGGGTGATTTTAAACCCTTGTATCTTGGAGACCTTTGGCCTGTTATTAGCCCATGATACAGCTCCATCGGAGTTTTTAGTCAATCGTACTTAAAGGACCGTGGAAACATCTTTTGGTGTTTAGATGCAGTCTTTAAAATAAATCGAAAAAGACTCCCCATTTAAATTTATTATCCTTCACCGATTGGTCTTTGTCACTTTCATAATAGGAAAAGACAGCTATTGCAAATGTATACTTCATTAAAAAAACTGGCTGTCTACTTTGAGAAGCATGTTGTTCGTTTGTATTACTTATTTCGTGCGGATCTATGAGTTAGAAGGGATATATATACTGGAAGGCATGTAACTTACGTAGAGATTATGGCAACTTGAATTTTGTTCATTTAATATAGTTAGAGTTGATTACCGATAAATTCGCGGCAATTTACCGAATTAACTGGTTTACTCCTCTTTCTGTTCGCTGGCATCTATTGCTGCTTACTTCGACGCGTTTCGTCTGAACGTTCTGCTCGACACCGTAGGGTGAACTCCTTTCAATCTACTCAGCTTTGCCGTACGTCAAGGAACGGGGTTTGTTCTCCATTAATCTGCCCAACCCATATAATTTCTCGTTTGACTATCACCTTGTGCTGGTTATTACGATGCTCATTTATTTGCCTGGCCTACCTAAACTGTATAGCCACATGCTTAGCCAGCGCAGTAAGGTCCTCTACCCACCCAAGGAGAAGCAGTAGCTTTGTCACCATCTTTGAAGTGCAATAAGCAAGCTATTTTCCTAACAAAATTCTTCAAATCGTGATCAGTGGACGACTGCAGAACCTTCAGTCATTGAAAATAAAGAGCTCTCATATTAAAAGTGCTAGGATACTAAGTCATGGCCTTTTGCAGCGAGTGATGACAGAAGTAATGCCGTGCTCATAAGCCATGCACATGGGAAATAGACAACATTATTTGCTTACAAATTTTGCTTCTTTATAAAAAAAAAATATCAACAGTGTATATTAATAATTATAGTTATGTTATAAGGTGAACGTATTTACGCTGGGCTTGCGTCAATTAGCCATTGTACGAAATCTAACACAGACACATATGGTGTATTATTGACAGGTGGCTTTCGACTTGATAATTTAAAATTAGTTTAGAGCTGCAGTTTGCAAGAAAAAATATATAATAATATACATATAATATTTAGATATTAAAACGTCTATATCGTTATCATCAGTGTTCACCTATCAGGGATCAGATTAAAATGAAGTTTTGATAAAGCTGCCAATGCCTTTGTCATCTGTCATAAACCAAAGTGCACTAGTGCACTTTGGTGCAATAGTGCACTAGTGCACTTTGGTGCAATAGTGCACTAGTGCACTTTGGTGCAATAGTGCACTAGTGCACTTTGGTGCAATAGTGCACTAGTGCACTTTGGTGCAATAGTGCACTAGTGCAATAGTGCATTAGTGTATTAGGTTTCCGCCTTAGGCAAAGATCAGCTTGAATAAACGAAAATATAAGTAGATTAGTTCAATGATTTTTGATACTAAATGTACAAGTGGTACTGCGCTTGATATTTAAGTACCCCTTACAAACAAATTAATGAATAATTACCTAAATGGCAGAATAAATAATATCTTCGTATCTCTTGTTTTTCTTTGCTTGGTAATCTTTAATAACGAGCAAGAAACTCTTAATTCTACTAAAGGTATTCTGCAAATGGAATTTGATACGAAGAGTCCTGCAAAGTATTTACTAAGATTTTAAAATTAAATATTTTGTTAGTTTATGATCTTGTGTGTCAAAATTTCAAATTATTGTAATCAGCTCGTACATCAGTTAGTGTAATTACTACCTATAAAGAAGGAAAGAATAAATACGGGCTTTCTGTCAGTGACTTGAACTAGGCTGTAATCGATGTTAAAATTTACGTCGAAATCCTTGTGCACAGTTTCAACTACAATTAACACAGCTGGAAGAGACCCACATCAAACGACACTAATCATCCTTCATAGTTAGTTTAGTACTTAAGTAGACCTGCGACAGAGATAGTTTGAAATAACGGTTGGAAAGTGCGCCGAGAAACGACGTTTTCTAAGACATCCACTGGGTAGGTAGGAATTTTCGCGCTAAAGAAACATCTAATAAACACCAAAACGTGTAGTTAAATACAGAAGTGAGATCGGAAAGAGAGTCCAACACTGTTCTTAGTAAGGTTTTTTGACTCCGCAAAGGTTGACTGATTCTTCGAAGAATGCTAATAATTATTCGCAAAATTATTTTAGAATTCATGGAGAGATGAAGCGTCGTATAAAAAATAAAACTCCATCCAAGATCGTTCCACATCACCCAAGTTCGCGAGAAACTTTCATAAAATGTGTATCAGAAGTACCTTTCTTTAAGCCAATTGTTTCCTTGAAATCAATACTGGTATTTGATAAAAATATTTTCTTCTAAAAATCTACTTACCGTTTATGTCAATCCGCCGTCGTATATATAAAGATAAGGTATTCGTTGTCAGACAGTTTTGAAGACCTTGGAAAACCAAACAATTTTTTCGCCGAGATATTTTACACATACTTAGCTGTTGTCGATCAAAGTATTTTGTTTATAAGACGGCGATATTATTATATATATGGGAATCATAGCATGAAAGTGAAGAATAAAACTCGTTTTGTATCCAGATTTTAATGAATTGGTTAAATATTTGCTCTGCGTCGAAATCAAATTACGGATAAAGCCAATATTTCTCTTTTCAAGTAAACACTCAGAATAAATATATATTTTTTATTGTATCGTGTTTTATTTTTATTTATTTTTTCTTATCTACATAAGCTTCACCAAGGCCGTCCAGGGCACTAATGGTAAAACGTGCTCCGCCAAACCTAAAATTTATTGGCGGAAAGAATTAAAAATCTCATTCCTTTGTTTCATGCATGTTTCTTCCATTTGTCTTCGTGTTTGCGCTCCTTCCTTTCTCTCTTTTTCTCTTTTACGCTTTCGCTCTGTTCAGTTGGTACATAGGAAAAGATATTCTTTTTCTGTGTACTAACGCGTCGTAAGTTGACCCTTACCGCTACCACGTTCCAGTAATCAGAAGGAAGTGGTAAGTTATAATCATATATTCTATTCACTCGATGATACATAAGTGCTCCGGTGTTCCTTCCACCCTCACTTGTGTTTTCTAAAGGATTTCTTATGTCCACTTCGTATACATTTTACTATATTTGTTAAGGTTCGTGGGGTTTTGCTCTGTTTTGATAATATGTATTTGTAATTGTTGTTGGTTGTATTGTAATTGGCTTAGTCTTCTGGGATTTGATTATATTTGTAGTTCATGTATATAAAACTTTCCTATGCACTTATGTTCTGCCTTAAGGTTTCCTTTGTTGTTCCATATACCACTTACCATTACTTTACTCTATATTACCGTCCCTTTTAATATCGAAATTCGTTTTCAAAGAAGATGAAAAGCTATGGGTGGGTCATGCATCGTATACAGAAGGGTTCTATTTCTTCTGTATTTTGTAGTTGTTGATTTGGTAGTTGTAGTAATTTTTTTCTGCATTTTTTCCCTCACATTCTTGTTGGGGGCGGTGAGCTACTTGCCTGGACCTGCCTTTTAATCGTATTTTTTCGGCTTGTAGACAATTTTCCTAGTCTTGAGCGACGACCACTTCACTCGCTTCATGTACCACGAAGCATATGTCAGTAAAGGCAAAATCAACATTACTTTGATAAACAGTGTTTTGCGAACATCGTGCTCAAATTCAGCACACCATTTCAAGAAACAGGTGACATCCTTGGCTAACTGGGAAGCCGTTGCGGGCGTACCGTCCTGGTATTCGATCGCCTCGTCAAACAGCATTTGACCCATAGCAATGGCATTTCCTAGGAAGTAAGGATTATAGTGTTGGCCTTCTTGCAATTCAACACCAGCCGGTGGGTCTGTGTAGCCCGTCAGTAGAGAGAAGATGTAGTCTTCGCCTCCGTGGCGAGCCGAAGTTATAAATGAAAGATCGGGTGGGTATGCGCCGTTATTTGCAGCACGCGCAGCTTGCTCGTTCGGATAGGGATCCTGCAAAAATGAATATGGAGCGCACACATTTTAGTCGATTGATTTTATTCGTGTCATTCAGTAATCTAATTTAGAACTAAGGTACTAGGATTCATCTATTAACAGCGTAAAGGGTGCTATTTGACAGAATTTTGTGACATAAGTAGCAAAAGCGAAGTGCTCTTTCTACATGTTATTTCAAAAAACAAAGACGGTTCTGAACTTCATGTTTCAAAATCAATATGTCTGTAGAGTTATATATTTTAGAAGAAGTAAACATATTACCACTTTTATAAGGATTGATTTACCTGGAAGTAGTCAGAAAGTTTGCCTGGTCTTTGGTACATCTCGCCAGCGTCGTTAGGGCCATCGGTAACCATGATTTCTGCTGCCTCACTCTTCGCCTCTTCCTCCGTAAAACAGACACCGACCAAATTTCGATAAGCAATATACTTCAAGCTGTGACATGCAGCACAGACTTGCTTGTAAACCTGCGCTTAAAAAAACAAATTGTATAAAATTCGAAGAGGACAGTACACGGAATTAATAGGCAACATCGAAAAAGTAAAACCATGTATTTGCATGGTTTGCGCTTGTAACAACAGAAGTCAACAAAGTAACTCACTTCACGTAATTATTTATTACAGTTAGAAATAAGAAATTCTTATCTTTAATCTAAGGATCGATGTACTTGTTGCGCTATCAGTTTAACAGATTCAATACATAAAGTAGGTTTGTACTATCGTATACGATCAGTCTTACATACTACAGGTGCTTGTCCTAGTATATAGTTACATAAACTGTGAAAATATGAAAGAGTTAGTTATGTAAAAAGGATATCTTCTCTTATTTACATCTTAACAGATCCTAATTGTAAATTCTTTTTAAAATTATAAACACAAAATACTTTTATTTTCAGTTATTATTATGTTTAAGGTAACAGCAGAAAGTGTTTCCATCAGACAAAGATGGGACAATAATTATTTTGCTTGTTTTAAACCTTTTTATTTTTATTATATTTTTATTTTTATATATTTATATATTATTATATACAAATGTATATATATATAAAGTTTATGAGCCACTTTTATAATCGGCGGATGGAAAATGACAGTCAAAATATGAATTGCTACTGAAATCAAGTTCCATGTCGATATTATAGGATTATGATATCAAGGTAACAATTATTGGGGATACTTGCACAAACCAATTTCATTTCGGAAAAAAGTGAGCAGGTTAACATATTTTTAGAACAGAGTTTTGTTAAAATTTCTTTTGGCTATCAGATTTTCTTAGTAAGCAACGTTTGAGCATGACCTACTAGCCGGTCAAGTATTTTCGCATAAACTACTGCCAAACCCAATTGCTTAGCAGAAGCTTTATTGCTCTTTATTAAAGATTCTATAAAATCATTCATTTAATAGTATGCTCTAGTGTTTGATCTGCAGGAATTAAGTACTTCTAAGGAGGTGTCTTTTGCCAAAAAGCTACAATAACACAAAATATATTTGTGAGCTCTAATATTTTTTAAACACTTCAAAGTAAACCGATGCAAATTCGTATCTTCTATGCGCTTACGCGAACAAACAATCCTACTACTGTTAATGTTTTTGCGCATAAAAACACATCTTTATATTGTATTTAAATTACTGAACAGGCTTCAGGTGTTTGTGGGAGTATGTCTCTTACACCTATAGTACTTACATCACTTTTATCAGAACGCATTTGGAGAAACTGATTTTAGAGTAGATGCCGAGCGGACTCCCCTACGAGTTGGGAGGAGACTTAAGTTTCCAAGGACAATATGTAATAGGAATATAACAGAGAAGTCAACGAACCTCATATCCTCGTCGAATAGATGCGTGATCCAAACTAGCTATCGTTTTCGAGTGAGGCCAATCGTACTTCGAAGGATGAACGATAAGATCAACCGCATGTAACGGCGAGCTTTCGAGGGCAATCAGAACACCGGCGGCTCCCGCACCGGCCAGCCCAAGGACGGCATAAGCTGCCTTTTGGCCTCGGCCAGTGATACCCTGAGTGCGGTTCGTCGACAGCTGACGGATTGGAGCCTGAGATAGAATGCTCCTCCGGCTGCCCAGTCGCGTGACGAGAGCCATTTCACACCGTCCGTTCGGGTAGTAAAACACCAACCTACCAGAACTGCTCGACGGAACACTGGAAGGACACAGGAAGGAGAATTTAGCATTTGCCAAGTACACGGTCGCCGTCGTCAACAATATCGATAAAACACACACGAAAAACAGTTAAAATATCTCCCGCTAATAAACATTATCTTGCCCAATGCTCACCCTGAAAGGTTTCCCAGCGAAATAACCTTCAAAACTACACAGAACCCAACTTTCGGTTATACTGCCGGATGTTGACGCCAACCGAAACTACCTGCCGGCTAGAGGACCAAAACAAACACGCTTCAGCGCGCAATCATTCAAATTTTCGAGAGCGAAGGAAAAGAAAATCAACACGACCGTACCTCTGCGAAATACAGTAACAATGAGCAACAGCAGTCTGGCATGGTAGCAGTTGTTTAAAAATTTGCGCGTCTTTTATCTCCATAATTGTGATGTTTGTCTATAAAATTTGCGGACACGTAGTTATTTAGACTGAAACTGAGCGTGAATACACTACATTCCATGATGAAAGCCCGCCGCCTAAAACAATGCTCTATGGCAGTTCCGCACGGAAAAGTACAAACAATTATCCTTAGGTTTGCTATTTTTTGTTAAGATCAGAAATACAGTACGGTATATAGCATATCCTAAATGCATCCTGTCGTTCGGAACATTTTGAAGAAGCTGAAAGTGCTGTTTTGAGCATCTTGGAATATAGTGACAATGAATTAAAGCTGCTACTTGTGCATTAAATGCCATTTCCCATCAACTATTTTTTATCCAATTTTGAAGCTGTTAAATCCGATTGAAATACTTGCTGATAAATAATTAGGCTATTGGCTTATTTGGGATTGTTGGAACTGTTAGTTAAGAATAACCCAATGTTTTGAGTTTTACAAACGGCCACCGTTTGGCATTTCATCAGACGGCTGCTTACCAGCTCGAAACAAAGTGTGCCTATGCCGGTATTCGAATCTATCCCACCAGGTGTTCTTATATATTAGCAGGCAATTACGCCACTTACTAATCTGCCATCGGGAAGTATCACGTGATGAACGTTGATGGCATTATGGGTAGCGTATTTGTCTGCTAAAATTGACAGGTACCTGGTGGTCTGGGTTAAAACTCGAGCGTGAACTCACTTCCTTTCGTGCTGAAAGCCACCCGCCTGACAGAAAGCTTAACGACGGCATCGGACGTAAAACTGTAAACATTTAAAGATAAATAAGTAGTGCCTGAATGTACATTCGGACTAAATGACTTTAATATTTTTATTTTAAGGCATTGAAGTATAATAAAAAGCTACGCTTATTTATTATAATTGGTCTTACTAGCGTTCTTTTATAGCTTTTTTCGCTCATGCCCAATAAAAATCGTTTGGACTACCAATGAGGTCAGTATGTCTTGTTGGCAGTATTCAATCGACTGTTCCTAGGATTATGACCTGTTTGAAAGACGATGTATTATGGTACGAAAGAAATATATAAGGGTTCTTGAGTTATTTTACTTTATTCTTTTCTCTATAGCAAGCGATCACTGAGGTACATTTAAATGTATGTACAACAAGTATATAACAAGACTGATTTTACTTTCGTGAAGATCAACCATTTTTGTCAATCTACACTTTTGGTAATAAAAAAACCGCACTAAAAATTATTAGGATCGTACTAGTACTACAGAATCGATAGACAGCTCACCCAAATGTTGTACAAAGGTAAAAGTGTGATATTTACGATCGTTTGGGGTTTTCAACTTTTAACTGAAAAAGCCAGAAATGCTGGACGCTGGTTCCACTATTGATATACACCACCTTACATATGTGATATAAATGAAAAATCAATGAAATTGCAACATGCGCAAACATCGTCAATGGCTGAACGCCGGGCCAGCAAACTGGTATAAAAGGTTCTTTGTAGTGACACAGGTCAGGCTCGAAGAGAGCGGTTTGAGCTAGTGTAGCTACAAACAAATTTCTTTTTCGCATGCTCCTCCTATTCTGGTTTTACACTTATTTTGAGCAAACATCTTTAGGCATGGATCAATAATAAAACCTTATTAATATAAACTGTTTATAAATGCTACAGATTTTTTATTAATTGCTATTTTTAACTAGGCTTGTCTTACGACTGATTATTAACTGCGAACGGCTGTTATGCTGAACCTACACTGTATATATATATATATATTTGGTCCATCACAAATGACGCAATTAGTCAAAAACTTAAACGTAAATATGTGTACAAATTCGTCTTGAAATACAAATTGTTTCTATGCAGATTGTTACAAAGCATCTCATATTAGTCTTACGAACTATTTGAACGCTACTTGGAGCACGCACAGAATATCAGTTCTTTAGACATTTTGAAACGTTCCTTATTTCGTTTGTTACAAAGTTTCAATACCTACCTCCGATAATTTTGTTCTGAAATCTTTATCAAAGTGCACTGGATTTCTAGAGACCAGCGATTCTGACAATTGCTGCGTACCCATGTTTGATTCGGGCAGTTGTTTTCTGTTCAACTGTAACACCCAATATTAGTTTCTCGAATATAATATAACATCCGATCCCACTTTCTCAGTGAGTTCGGTAGCCTTATAATTTCACGTAGAATAGAACTGTAAAGTCTGACATAAAATATCAACACAACATGAATTCGACCAAGCTACGATTAGCATCAGTGGCAAGGCTAAGTCACAAGCACACACAGATACACGCCCATAGTGTCTACAATCAAATATCTAATAGATAAATCGAAAGTGGCACACGTCTATTTTCCCATTAGACGTTTTTCATTCTGTGCGTAAACGCAACGAGGCGTTACTATTAAACATAACAACTTCCTCATTCTTTTTGATAAGAGTCCTTTTTTGTCAGATTTGTTCCTCTGACACGATTTCTTTCTGGTCGCGCATTATTTCTACAACATATGTGCGAGCCCGGGAATGGTTCAATGGGCATACATCAAACAAAAGGATCATAAATAATTGGCTTCAGTCCTTTCAACACAAGCTGGTTTTTGCTGCCTTTTCCTATTTTTCGCAATGTATTGAAAATGCCCCGCAGTGGCTGTATGGTACAAACTGTCTAAGTATAATTACTCGCCTATTATGTGAAGATCATTTAAGAAGAAATTTTGTCTCCATTTGGGACAATACTGGATTAGATAGTGTTTTCACTCCATTATCGTTAGTTCATTTGCTGAGTTTTATATATACTTGTTGCGGTTCCAATTTGAAAAACTAAAATGTTCATATTTTTTATGGAAAGAACAGTTTTTTTTCCTGTTAGTTAAATTGCCCTCTACAGTTCTCTGCTCCGCAACGGCACTGGAACAATAGTCGGCCTGGAGCAGCAGGGTTATCGTCCATGGAAGCACGGGATAAATCCAAGGACTCCGCCTCCGTTACTGAAAAAGAGTTGGGTAGAGAGTGCTTACAATAAATCGATGTAAATAATGCATTTAATGTTTAGCATTCATCTGAATCTTTGCGAACAATTGTAATACGCGGAAGTTGTAATTTATATTATTCTTTCTCGGAATAGAAGTCAACTTACTTTCAATATTTTTAAAAAGTAAGTTAATAACTTCTTGTACAATCAGATTCCTCTTATTTCTGCAGCAATTTATTTAAACACTAGAAAGCATAGATGTGTGGCAAACCCTACCATTGACGCGATAGTCAAACGTGAGTTCCTCATGCTTACGAATATCCCGACTGGAGAAAAATGCTAAGCGTGGCATCAGCAAGTCGAGATTATCCACCCAAACCGGAATGACAACCAAGTTTGGATTGCACTGTAATGAAATCAATAATGGAGCGTACATTAATTATTACAACAACATTAATCAGCTGCTAATTTATCGTTGCGTGATAGGCTGATATATTTATATTTATCTCCATAGCCGCTTTCGCTTGATCATCTAGCTCGATAATAATTCGACTAGTTTAAGATGATGAATAACATTCCGTATGTTATTATTTAAAATGGTGTGGACGAAGAATCGCATTAATACTTTTCCATTTTTTTAAGATATTTATTTACTTATATTACTATTACGTGTTTTATAATTACGATATTGTTACGTAAGCCAAACTGGACCTAACTAAACCTCAAAGGATCAAAGAACGAGGATCATCTGTATCTAAGTGTATCGCCCTCTAGTTGGATAAGTACAGAAGTCTACCTTACCGAATGATTTATAAAATGTGAGCAATTGCCGCATTGGAGAGCATCAACGGTGTATTTAGCTTCGCGCTCCGTGTTGAAGTCAATGTCAAAGAGATAGGTGTCATCAGTACGTTGACCTGCCATTTCAGAAGTAATCACTTCGCCTAAATACTCCATAACAAAGCTCCAAGCGCGTATCGGAGCGTTTGCTCTCAGCCCCCAGCCTCGGCCATTATCTGTCTTGAAGATTGTCACTGGCACCTGCCGGCCTCGCTGCGAAAACACATTTATCAATTTCTACTTTATATATTTCAATTAGAAGCTAGATTTAAACGGTATTGATCAATTCGGTCGGTGGAAATAGCAACCCTCTACGGTGGCACTGTACTATTAAATGCATTTGTTCCAAGGATAAACGCTTTTTGCTGTTTTGCGCCAGTGCGTGAGCGCCTATAGTTAGGTATAAAGAGAGTGATGATATTGTAAAATTAGGAGTCGTGTTTTCATCATGTGACATGCATTCTGTAAGTGATGCTTTCCCGGTAAACCCACGCGAAAAACACGAAACCGATTAAAGAGGAGCAGTTGCAAATGACCTACAATTCTATAGGAATACCACATAAGTTTACAAGCTTCGTAGATAAGGTTGTTCTACTCTAACAACCCGACGAAGATACGAGGTGGATGATATCCAAGCCACATACAACTGAACAATGTATAACGAAAGTTTAAAAACGGCGTTCATTTCTGGATGCGAAACCACTCAACAGAAGTAACCAAACTTCGACGGCATGCTAGAGGCGCACGTGTTACAGTGTAAACTCTAAAGCGGAAGGAAGTAGGTTTATTCATCGAAGTGCTTAACTAAATAAACTGAACGGAATCAGCAATTCTTTAGCCATTTTCAACGAAAATAAGCGACCAATATTTGCTCCAAACGTAATCAGAAAAAGGTTCAACCAGGACATCTTCCAAGGTAAAAGAAAGTCAGAGTCGACGCACGTCACGTAAGTCGCTACGATCGCTACACGAATCGTCAGGAAATATCGACACACGTCCTGCAGACCACCTGAGAGAAGGAGACATCAGCTCTTTGAAAAAAGTTTCTCACCCTAATCTGTGACATGAGCAAAGTTGAATTATTATTACTCAGAATGCTTTTTACCTCGATAACGTAAGTAACCTAGTTACGAATCGTGCGAACAGAGATAGAAAACATTCACCTTTGAGGTTAAAGAACTACTTAACAACTTTATGTATTCCTTTTGAATAGCAGCTTAACTTCATACCTGTGTGACACGGTTGAAACAGGATGCCGGACATGTACAGGACGCATTGCATTCGATGATCCCACTGTTACTCCGCCGGCAGGCAACAGTCAGAACTCCCCTCTCATTGTAGGCTTTCTGACGCTCATTATGGAGGCCTCCGCAGCCGTCCTTGTAACAGTCTCTACAGCGACACCCCAATTCGGCTCGCTCAATCATGATGCCTTCGGCGTACGTGTAGTCCTAAAAGCATAGTAATTATCGGATGGATGTAGATTTTCACAATAAAACGCATACACGCACAAAAGGCCACGAGTAACGATTAAAAGAAGCAGAAAACAAAATATGTGTACTCTTCAAGCAATGAAAGTTGTTCTACTGTTAATTCTCGACTCAAAATATGTTGCGAGGGGGATGGAACACATCGGAAGGAAAGTGGAAACGTATTACTTCAATACAGTTGCTACAAAAGTGCGTTGCTAAACAGTCGTTTAAAGTGTAATGAAGGTAATCCTTTTGAGTTATACACCATCATGAAATCTCAGGCATGTTTGTCTTTTGTTTTTCTTCGAAAAGTAAAGAAAGTATAAAATCAGTTCATCTATTCCTGGTCCTTTCAATGCACTCCATTTGACAGACAAATATGGACATAAAAAAGAAGATTTGAAGACAGAAAAGGAGAATAATGGTAAGATCGTAATATAACAACGTCTAAACCTGTTTCAGTTGCTAAAACCGTTTCAAGGAACATGTAAGTTTCGGATATGGTAAACAAAAACGGTTTGTTATGGGAGCTACCGTGCCTACAATAGTAAACAATTTTATAGGCCGCATCCTAAACCAAGCGCGTCCCTATCATACGCTAGTTACTTTCTACGCCGGAACTAATCACACTGTAAAACGGCGGCCACATACAAGTAACGGACACATACAAGTCATTCCATCGATAAAGGCAGAAGGACAACTCACTGAACGGTCGAGTCAGATCCATCTACCACGACAGATTGCCCTGGATAGGCTCTTCTGTCCGTCTGCTTACGGCATGCTTGTTAATGGCAAATTGTGGGCTAACTGCACTTCAATTAAATTCGAGAATCTTAGCTATATATGTACGAACAGTTGAGACATGCATACCAATAACTTGCACTATCACATTCGCTATGCGCCACTCATTTCCGATCCTATTGCACACAAGAATATCCGGCCATCTACATAGGTAAAAAGCTACAAAAGGCAAGCGAACTGCAGAGACGGCGGATTGAGATAATTTTTTTTCCAAGTTATTACGTTACGGATAAGTGGCTCTTATCAGCTTAGCAAACTTGGCCTACTAGTTCTCTTGTACCCGCTTCTTTTAGCTCCCATCAGTCCGCAGCTCCTCTCTACGCATTAAACCTTTGACCTTCCATGCCTTGGATTCGATTCATCTTTATTTTTTTGCTCCTTTTCTATATTTCTTTGGTTACTACCAGTAGTACAAATACCCCAGCGTCTTGCAACAGCAAGACATACCGAAACTGTCGCCAGCAAGTTCTCTGAAGTGTTTATATTATAATAAAAATGCTCGTTCTGTTTGCTGTTGCCACAGGTGTACTTGATACATCTTAATATTTTCTAAGTGATGCTAGCGGATATATAGTGTCCCAAAAAATGTATACATTGTTTGAATGATCGTAACTTTAATTTTTATTTACATATAAAGATTATTGACTACAAAAGATTCTATATAAAATGTGTAATTTATCTCCAATCACAGATGTTTGAAATTACTATCACTGTGATCTACATAGCTATTAAAAGCAGGCTATTACTTTAAAAGCTTCAACAGGCTTTCAGAGTCGTCGGTTTTCCCGTGTAAATTTCTTTTAGGCAACCCACGAAGAAAAGGCATTGGAGTTAGGTCTGGGGAAGGGGAAGGCCATTTTATGGCGGTTTTTGTCTTACCCATTTGTTTATAAGGTTCTTATCAAAATATGCTCTCACGTCACAACCACTGTGTGCAGGTGCTGTTCGAACCAAACTCACTGTCTCTACTAAAGTCCTCTCGAATATGTAATAACACTGATTCTTGCAGTAAATTTAGATAATTGGCACCAGTCATTGTCAATCAGATTACAATGTATACATCTTCTTGGACACAGTCTGTATATATATATATATATATATATATATATATATATATATATATATACACATATAAATATACCAACGCAGCAAATGCCTCTCTGTGAAGAGATCTTATTCGTAATGTTCTTGCCAGTTAGCGGATTTTTTGCAAAACGTCCAGGCTTTTAGTTATATTATGTAATTTTTATATTCGACAGTTAGGCACTTCTAAAACCAAACACCATAGAAGCAGCCTTTATTTACTCATATATTGAAAATGGTCCATCAACTATTGATTATATTAAACATACCCTGTGGATGAGACAATGGTTACGCTAGAACGCTTGATACAGCTTTTACTAACGCAACAGAGAACTTAGTCATCATTTTGGAGCAGTCAATTATACCAGACTCGTCAACAGTGGTGACAATCATTCACGCTATAGTGCCGTAGATAGCATTTATGGTGTCTTTCTGTGGTTTCTAACAAAACGAAGAGCAAAATATTAAAATAATATACTGAGAATTCGGAAATTAGAATGATACATAAACTTATTTATAGGGTTTACACGGCGCCTCGGGGAATTAATTATCTGCGTTCCTTTTCACCTTGCATTTATATTTTAGACATGGAAGGTATAAATCTAAATATAAACTATATACTGATTATCTTAAACTGCACGATTCCTCCAAAACTGCAAATAAACACCGCAGTTTATGACTACCAAATGTTGCAAATTATGTGAATATTATTAAACCCAAATAAATTGCAATCTCTTCAGAAACTTCTGTGTATATATCCCTAAGGCTCACTTCAGTTGATCTTAAAGTCATACACCGAAATTGGTCTTAACCGGCTCATTACTTAAGTTTAATTTACTACGCGCTAGTCTAAGGCACAATTGATGTATAACCTCTGTACAAGAATTTACCTACGAGTTTACAAGTTACTGTGAGAGTTGACTATCTGTATTCAAAAACATATTAAGATAATTAAACGTCTATAATCGAATTGTATACGGCATGTATGTGAATTAATAGTGCGATTCAGTATAACACTATTGATGTCCATGCATTTGTTCTCATCTATTGAACTCTCAGGAATTCATTGGCTAGTTCTGGATTTACAGGCAGATTAATAATTAGCTACACCCTCTATCGTCTAAAGCGAGTAAAATCTATTTATATATATATATAGGTATCCGAAGAATCCCTAACAAGGCAAAATAGAGTTAAGTGTTCTTTAAAGTAGGACAAGAGTGATGAAAAAACTCTGCATTTCAAATTTACGCCTGAGAACACTCACGTGTAGCCAACATACCAATGTGCCCCCTAAAAACATTGCTACTTCCATGGCCCATACTGTTGTTGTTTATCCTTAACAAACCCTTCACTGAACAGATTCCAGAGACTAGCTAACATACCAACAAATCGATGAACAAGCACGAATTCAACACAAATGGCCCTGGACCATTGGTTGGGGATTGTGCATTCAACCTGTTCAAAAAAGTACTATTTTAATAATAAGAAAAATCATAGAATAAATTCTTGGGGCAAACTACTATGAGCGATAGGTCACTGAAAACAAGATATGAATACTGCAAAATATGAAAAGAATTGTGAATCCGGACAAACCACCTAGAGCTTTTCACGATAGCTGTAAGGAAGCAGATCTGCGGAAAGTAAAAATGAGTAAAAGCGAAAGCTTTGACTCGTTTTTACTTTTCCAGAAAAGAGCTGAACTTGCCAGCATTCACGAAAAATCACACTGAAAAACAAAACATGACGCTATGAAGTGTATTACCTAACCAACCATGTTAAAATGCTTGTTTACCCGGATATATATATATCCATGTGGGTAATTCCGGAACGGTGTAGGTTAAATTTCATCAAAGAAAAAGTTTACGACGAAAAATTTATGTTTCGGGAAACCCATGTTCGAAAATTTAAAAAATACTTACGACTCAATTGATATATATCCAAAAGGGACTAAGATTTACGTTTTGAAGTTGCGCAATAAGAAGGGGTATAATGCATCAAGCTGTTGCCAGGTGTGAGGCATTTACAAGTTTGTCTAGGCGAAAAAGGCAAGTTTATGAAAGTGAGTTCTATTGATACTGTCACGGACGTAACAGGATCTCTAACGTCCTCGTTGATGTGGAAGGTTACGTACTAACGTTTGAATTGAAAGGCATCGGTGCATCGCCCCACTGATACACTTGCCCATCTAGTAGAACATCCGCTAATAGCTTGCAAGATATTAGTGCGTCCTGAAAATATACTCGTTCACATATGTGGCATGTTAAAACGTTTATGAATAATACCATATTTAGTAGCGATGGCTACCTGATTTTCGTAATTTATATAAAGAAAGCCACTTATGATATTGCTTGGTGGACTCTGATTTGTTTCTGTTATGCCACCATCTTATTTCTAGACTTCTTACGTGTGCTGGCAGTAAATAAACAGAATCATTTTTTCGGTGGCATCTTCTATCAGACATGATCCCGCACTCACAGACATAAATTGGAAGTTGGTTGGGGGCGGGTCGTTATCAACGAAGTTCTCAACAAACAGCGCTGCAGGCTCCCGGACGGTTTTTTTGATCGACTCACGCCAATTCTCTAGCTCATCAAGATAATCCTGACGCTCAAGCATCGTTCGGATGAATTTACATGGGCCTCCAAACCTAAAAGTAGAAATAATCGGAATATTAGAAATGACCCACTTAGCCTAATTTTTTGCAGAAGATATTCATATAGATTCTCCTCGTGGAATGCGCCTTTCGTTCGATATATTAAAACCTGGTGTCCGTATTCGGTTAGGCCTTTAAATCTGCATCGCTAGACAGGTTTTTCTAATGTACTTTATTAATAAAAAATAATTGCTTCCATCATAGATAAAGCAAAGCCTATATTGATATAATATGAATAAGTTTTAGCTGTGCAATTTAGTTGATTTATATTTTATTTGTCTTCGAATAGTAAAGCAAACACCTGTGAAATTTCCAACATGAATCAATCTGTAGTACTTACAGAAGTATTTTCTTACGGAAATTGTCATGGCTTTTTTAGATCGGGTGGAACTGAGATTCATTTGGCATTGCGAATTTCGTTCGAAAATCTTATACTGATAGAGGCTAGCATTCGAAGTACCATACCACTATTCTAGAAGCTTTTTTACAAGTAGCTTCTTATACTACGTTTTTGTTGAAATATATTATGCTGTGAGAGCAGCAGGATGCCTCTAACGGCAATGTGAAACAATGGAGTTCGAGGAGAGGTTTACAATTACCTTGCAAGGCTGCACTCTTTGGTTGCAGGGAGATGCAATACGGTAATGACACTGGTCGTTGCTTTGTTAAAAACAGTAAACGGAGATTACATGTTATAAATTCACTCCATATTGGTATCGAAACTCACTCTTCGTGAATCCTGGATAAAAGTTGGCTGGATCGCAAGTTTGTAATGTCTGTCCGCATGGCTTTTAGGCTTTTTTGCGTGTACTGGCTTGCCTCTGAGAGCACGAACTTCCTTTCCAAAAGGGGATAGGCAATCTTGAGATCGAGTACTGGGTTATCTAGAAGCGTTACCTCCATTATATGTCTTAGCACACCGGCCAATATTCGATCCCTGCCGCAGACCAGAGAGTAAAAGAAAGTATCAGAATGGATGCAGATTAAGCAAAAATAACTTCATTGACAATAACCACCTAAAAGGTCAAAAAGGACGTGTTAATGAAGAGCCAAGAAAGTTTCGGACATGCTCTGAAGTAGCATTTGTGTGAGAGCTTAGCAAAGCTCTAAAATTATATTTACAAAAATGCCAGAAGTAGGTGAATGATATACTTACGGGTACTTGTTTTCAACAAGGTAGTCGATAAGCATTACATGACAATCTAAGTTGTGTAGAGGTTCCCACTGGTTGTACTTTTCGTCCCAGCCTTTCCATTTAATTAAGCACTCCAATTTCGATTCTCGAATGCGTACCTTGACTACCTGATCAACCTCATATTCTTCATATTTATCAAAGAAAATTAAAAAGTATCTTATTAACAAGCTTGTTTATCAATATGCCGAGTAACTGAGTCAACCAAATCTTGCGAATGGTAACGAATTTTACATCAAGGTAGAGCTTAGGGCACATATTGCGCAATTTAAGGCTCCATGCTTTTCAAGATCCGGCTTCTAAGTTCTCACTCATAACAAAAGCGCTGAGCCAGGATGCATGACCTCAGGTATGATAATACTTCGCTCCTAAAGCACGTTTCAAACACCACTTGTTGTTAACAACAATGTGACAGTGACGAATGTTATTGAAGGAAAGTATTAAATAAATATATTTGAGGCCTCGATATAATAAATTTGTAAACAAAACAACCGTTTGATAAAAGTAATAGACCTTTGTATCTATAATATAGAGCAATAGCTATAGAGTATTATATCGAAAGTTTCTTTTTAACGAGTATAGGATATAACAATTGTTATATGCAATCTCAGCATCATCCTTTAGGTGTGGCTTTGAGTATATACGTGTTACTTTGGGTAACTGCCAGCTGCAATCAATGGTTATTGATTTCCGTTGTTTAAAGTTCATCAAGCAAAAAAATCGAAACAATTTACTAGTTCATAACTGTAGTAATTACTGACCCTCCAAAGGACTTGTTTGTGTCCTGGAGGCCTTTCTCTTGCTCTTGCCTTGACTCCAGTTCGGTGATTCGTACTTCACTGTAGCAGCCGTACCATCTGCAATCTTCAGCCGCTTAACACAACATACTCCCAACTCCTCGCAGTCAACACCGTTCTTCCAACACAATTCTCTCAGCTGGTCCTTAGTTACTTTACAAGCCAATACGAGTCTTTTGCCATCTGGTGGGAAATGCTGTAAGAATGCTTTTAATGTTAAGATAATTCAATTTCATCGATGCTAACAGGTTATTGTATGAATGAGATTAAAAAAAACTGTTTAAAAAAAATTTCTTCTTACCAAGTAATCCTCGACAATACAGTGTTGATTGTTGTGCGCCTGGGCTGAATATGGGACTGCCAAAACGCTAGGCGACTTCGAGATTTCATTATCTTGGGTTGTTTCCCCAGTTGTGGTAATGAGACCCTTTTTCGCACCTAGGTTCACGCCAACTCCACTGTTTTCCTTTGAACTTCCATTGAATGACTGTCTACCAAGAGTAGCCCCCTCTCTTTCAGTTGAATCTCGCAAAAAAAAACTGTCCAGTTTCAGTTGGAGTGCTCGTTTCGGTGGACTCACCTGCTTAAAAAGAAGATAAAAAAAATACAAGTAAATAAATATTTAAAGCCTTTTTTTTGACAGCTATTGATTATTCGTATTCTACCCTATTGACCTTTCTCGTCCTTTTAAATAGACAATGGAGTGTCAATGCATGAAACTCTACAGAAGTACTTTTCAAATTACACCTTTTTTTCAATCATCTACCTTAATTTAGCGTTAAGCCTCGATCAAATGAAACGATAACTTGATAGATTTTTCAATATTATTATAGCAAACAGTATATAACAACATTTAATCTGACTTCGAAGACAATCTGTGGACTTTGTCAAAAAAAACGATTAATAAAAGTCAACTTCATGAAAGCTGCTTAAATTTATTTTATTAATTCTTGTTGCCTCTGAACCTTTTTTTAGGACATTCGTAAACGAAAAGTAAACTAAGCTTTTCTTTGTACATTTCACTTGTTATATTTTGAATAGGATGTTCACACCTTTGAAACTGGTAACAAAAGATACGTTCTTTTTCTGTTATTCAGTAGGATGAGTAAGGCCCCTGATCGGCAGAGATCTTAAATATTTGTTTAGTAACGTATTCGTTCATATGTGGTATCCAACGAGCGCTGTATAAGTATGTAAAACAATTTAGCTCGAGTGTTGTAGTAGGCTGTAAGTTTAATTTACAAACAAATCGGGCGGCAGTTTCAGCTGACGAAAGTGAAATACCAGGTGAAACCTCACAGTTTTATTCGCGTTCGCTTATTTTACGGCTTTGTTTAATAAATAAATAAGTTAAATAAGTAAATAATCGATAATCATCGGGTTAACGACGATTAAAAACACGTTCGTTCGAAGCGCAACAGCAGCTCCCGCTAACTAAAGACTTTGCTTATTAATAGGTAGGACACAGTCCACTCCCAGATCTGTGCAAAAAGACAAGGAAGTATTTTTTACAGGAGCTTCGTTATTTTGCTATGTCTCTGCTGTATTCCAACGATTGAGCCTACGAACTTTCTGCACAAATTGGAAGCGCTGTGCTTCCAGACCGCTATGTGTGAGAAACAGGTGCTACATACACACTTACGCAACGTTTGCAACTTGATGATACTTAACGCACTATTAGTAAAAACCCTTGAAGACCTCTGTGTTGGAATTCCAAACTTGATGGTCATACAGGAAATATATTATTTTAGACATTGCTGTGTTTTAAATGTTTGTACAATATAATTTGATCCGATTTTGACGAATATTATTATTACGTTGCGGCTGCCCGAGCAGCATTTTCAAGTTGCAGGATTATGTCACAGAATTATGGAGCGCGTATTGATAAGCAGTCGATAGAGCCTTTTATATGCTGAGCTTGTCTAAGAAAAACGTCATTACCTTACAATTTTATTACCTAGTATGCGGAAAATATGCAAATTTTAGAAAAAGAAGAACGAATTACTTCTTATGCCGCTAGGATTGTATCATAATACATCGTAGAATAGCAATGAAACCCGAAGAGCAAGAAAAAACAACGATAGAAGATATGAATAATAGACAATGCATATCTATACAAACCAAAAAACGCGACTATTGTAGCCGAAATAACTCTAAAGGCTGATTCAGAATAGAACAGAGTCTAGCACGCCCTAATTCTTAATATACTAATTAGTAATCGCCGTAGATCATATACATGATCGCGAATGTTACTATTCATGGGTACCTTAATTACCTCATATATTTCCCTGTTCTGTTCACTTTTTTTTTTTATTTACTCCTTAACGTTTCACTAGACTACTTAGTTTGTTGATCAAGTTAATATTTTTGGCCAAACTCGGCATATTGAACTTCTTGTTAATACTTAATTCGCTAGTATATCAAAATAACTCTTTTTACCAGCTCACGTCTGTATAGAGTACATAGTCCTGTGGCTCGTATTGTAGAACTGAAGTGTTTCCATTAAACTGTCCTCATCGCAAGCGACATGCATCATCGATGGAACATTTGAAACTGTTTATAATGAATAAAGTAAAAATTAATGAACACTACTATTGCTTATATATTATGGCCATTCATTCGAGAGATGCTTTAACAAAAGAGCACTTGTTGCTGTTCTGGCGACAGCGATCCAAGGCGATCTTACCCCTGGACCCGGCATGACGATCCAGCGATTGGGGGTAACTGTATATTATGCGTGAGCAGAAAAAACGCTTTACCGCTTGAAGGCAACCAATAAAAAAACATTAACAAAAATGCACAACACCAGTCACACTCCCATCCACAATAAAAGCATCACTTGAAATCATGCCGAAGAGGAATCTGTCCGGATTCCGAACATTCAGCCCCGACGGTTTTTTCTATATATGTTCGATTTTTGGAATTCAAAGCACGAACGTAAACAATTGCCGAATAGCCCGCGGTTTTGTGTCGAACATACCTAAGAGTGGCGGCAAAATTCAAACTCGACGGAATACATTATTGCTGATGATCTATGGCATTCAAGTCATAAACTGGTGTAAAAAAAACAGCGGATCAAAATATTCAAGAGTAGTCAAAAAGGAAAAAAGTTAACACATTCACGTTTTTAATTGAAGTTGGATATATAGATAATTTTATAGTTGGTTATCTCAAAACTTACAGACAATATCGTTCTAGAACTTCTTTTTAATATCTATTCATAAAAATGGGCACGTTTGTGCTGTTTGAGCGAGTATAAAGCATTCAAATGAACAAGGTTTGACATTCATCATCCGTTAGTGGATTCCACAAAGATTTCTGAGAGAAAGCATTGTAATTGTACTCTGACGCGACTCTAGCACCTTCTCAAGTCGGGTTCGAGTATGCATACGAGAGAAATGGATACCAAGAAGTGCGAACACGTTTCAGTGTTACACAGCAGCATCTTTTGGCTTCAGGGGTAGAACGGGAGTAAATTTATTAACGACTGTATTCGATGATGATTAAAATAATACTAAATTGATTAAATAAGATTAATGGTACTTTGATCGACACCCTTCTACCATTTCTCTGGTAACACCACAGTATTATATCATTGTAGAAATTTGTGATTTCTGGGCGAAAAAATCTAATGAGTGTTTTACATCCCCTAATTAAAGCTAAATTTCAATCATTAAGGGAGCTCCACAAGGATTGAAAGGGATTGATAGTCCGACGGCATAAGATCTGACGGGCTATAGGGCGGACGGATGCATGTGTGCTACCATTGTCAACCCCTTTCTTGCTACTAGTTTCAGTTAATCTTTTTCAATGTCTTGTTGTAGTTTTATTAACAGTAAAGCTTGGAATCAATCATTTTGTCAGGCGGCAGAAACTCATAATCCGAAAAAAGAAACTCATAGCTCATAATGGGTTTCATTCAATCTACCAAACACATATCTTCACTATCTTTGAATGTCAGTCTAAGCTTTGCCGCAAATTATAAAGCACATTTATTTCTTTTACACATTGTTGTCGTACGTAATTCACTGTTCACCACTCGAGACCAACCGCAGTCATCTAGAAAATGGGAATAGATAATATATACTGAGAAAGTTACAAGTCACTTGAGCTTTTTGGGATGCTAGACCCGGTCAATATACAGACTATAAGAATAACTCATTCTAATCTATTGAGTGAAGAATTTATGCTGAAAGCGTGCTGAAACCGCTTTACCTCCTTACGTACACAAGAGGATACTTTACGGAAAATAGCCACGGATCGTAGTCGAAATTGAGCATGTCATGAATATCTGTAAAGTTTGAAATAAAAAACTAACTCTTTTCAAGATAGAATTCGAGATGATTGTGCTGTCCGAACGTGTTTAATTTTAAGACATCCTTGAAGATATGACATTCACACAAATGTTCTAGAGCAGAAGCGGCTATTTTTGGATAAAGAGACGTAATTAATTTTAGACGTAAATGGGAATTCGCAGCAAGAAAAGTAAGCGAATAAAAAACCTCAAACATCTTAGGGCTATTTTGGATATTAGAACATAAGATACCTAATCTCACTTGTTGCGGATCCTTAAGTATTTGGAGTCTATAAAATTACATACATGCTTGAAGATCATTTCAGAGCTTAGTATTCAAGGCACCCATTACCACACTAGTTGGACTAGGTGAAGCTCGATTAACAGTAACGATTAATACGCTTGATTAATAACTATCCCAATTATAGAAGTTGAAAAATAATTATACCATTAAACATCAAGTGAATATTCGTAACACCTCGAAATTTCAACTGAACTAAAGAAAAACAAAGACGACCTACAATAAAGCGACTGGAACCATCTAACGCATATCATATTGTGACGTATGGTTGTACAGGCAATTTTTTGATTATTCAAATGCCAATCCTTCTTGTAGTCTTGAACTACTTTATATGTGAATCGAATAAAATTGAAATAAGTATTAAGTCGTTAGTGTCAGAGGACTTCTATCGTTTAAAATTTTAGTATAGTCATATTGCAACCATATCACAGATCTCTATTGTTTTTTCTATAGGACATAATGTGCATTATTTCTTCCCATTATCATTGGCATTGCAGTACCTAACTGGCCAGCCTTCCTTCACTGATAGTTGCTATGTCCTCGATCTTCTTAGCCCCTTCTGTCGCCGATACATTTGTGCTCCGAGATGTTTGTAGCGTCTTTTCCGTTATCCTCCAAAGGGGGGGAACAGCGTTCAAGTCCAACATTCGCGGTTCGTAATCAACTTTCAGCAAGTGAAGTCCCTGGGCTGGCGCAGGTACTATTCGGGGATTCCAGGTCAGTGTGTCCTTTGTTGACAACATTTTAGATACCTACAAAAACACAATGCAAATTGAAATCATAAGTCGTTACTGATTCGTTTGGAACTCTTTCGCGTCCGCCAAATATTATATGTATATATATGTGCAACAGTTAATATATCATGTACTGACAAGGAACTAATATATGATGTCATAGTATGGCAAAATCACAACTCTCGTATTTATGCATACAGCCGCTTATTTTTACTGTTGGTGTTTTTGTTAATAAAGCTCAACTTTTCGTCCACCGGTGATCATGAGGCTCGAACCAGCTGCAGCTGTGATGCTGATATGCAGAGGAACATAAGCAAAACCTATTCAAATAATTTTTGTAACATGAAGACCTAATTCTCCTCTACAAACGACGACCTTGGCTACCATTATTTATACTTCTTTAATATGACCATGATTATAAGTTTAGACTATCAACTGATTTACATTAAGTGGTGACATTTCGGGTAAAGGGACAACCCCTTGCACGATGGTGACGACAACGACAATGATTATGTCAATGATAACGAAGAAATCTAAGAATCTTGTACTATACCTCTTCCATGGGAACCCTGCCACTTCCAACTGCGATAACGGCTCCAACCATGCGACGAACTTGGTGGTAAAGGAACGACCTTGCTGTCACAGTGAATTTCCACCAAGAAAAGAAGTTAACTAAGCCACACTCAAGGTACTCTCGTTCGGAAACATCTTCTGGAATAAATGAGAATTCGTTTATACACCTGATTGTTGGCTTTGGATCTTTAGTAGTATTTGTGAATGCAACGAAATCGTGGAAGCCCTCGAAGAGTTTGCACGTAGTTTGCATGAGTTCGATATTCAATGGTAAAGGAACTGCAAAACAGTGATTCTTCTCTTCAAGTGGTACGCGAAATGCGCATCCAGAACCTTCACATTGTCTTGGTATAGCTATCCGATAAATGTACGTCCTTCTTTGAACACAGAACCTGGAGTGGAACCAGTAGGGCACCCTGCGCACTTCTCTCAGTATAACGTCCTGTTTATATTTGAACAAAAATTTGTTTACGCGTTCGACAATAATTTCCTCGGTAAGCTGATTCTGGCCAGACTTGCAAAGTAGATCGACGTGCGCGGTATTTATCGTCGCGTGCACGCCAGAGTCCGTCCGGGACGATATTTTCAGCACAGCCGGATGCTGGAGCCTCAAAGAACTATTCAACGCAGTTTCGAGTACAGCTTGGATGGTGGGACGCTCAGGCGTAGCGCTATCCTTCGGTATCAGACGCTGCATTCCCGAGTATCGCGTTCCCAGGTATGAAAAACGCAGGAGAAATCGATGTGATTCCCGGATATATTGTCCAGAAAGGCACATCCCGTTTTTATTATGCCCAGGTCTGAGGCGTTAAGTATATATTCCGAAAATATTGTTTTTTGTTCAGTTTGTCGAGTAGTACCTTCAAACAAAACGAAAGAAACGATCGCATTGAGTAAATTGACCAAATACGTGTTGAATGTGTTAACAGGCCGAAGGTATCTATCGGTAGAAACGTGAGATCATACAACAGCCGTTTGACTAACGACAACCCATTATCCAAAAGATACCAAGAGATAATTTTATTAAAAATATATGTATCAAACGCAATGCTCTATTTGGTTACTCAGTTGGAATTGCTCTGTTGGCATTCGGCATAAGATGGAATAGCGAGGTCCACCATTAGATATGAGTATGTTACTTAAACGCAAACATTCACCATAATACGACTTTAAGGCCGTAAAGAATTAGCTTCCTTTTTAATAGGTTAGGTAGCTTTATTATTATATCTGCAATCTCTTCTATAAAAGATCGTTATTTCTTAAGCTTTGTTCAACAGTACGATACAGGTAGCCAAACATAACAGTCAATTAACAGTTGGCCTTACACACAAGAGCTGTCGCACGTATGTGCCACATTTCAACGCATACCGCAAGACATTATACCTACATATACTATTCTTTACTACAGCCAACTCGTATTCCAGATTTGTTCTGTGTACGTTTCCAATCACCTTCATAAGTGCTGCATACATGAATTCGCGCGGTTCATCTCTTTTTATCTATCCATTTGTTCATTGTTTCCGCGCACCACTCGCGTCTACGCGCGCGCCATCAGCTGACCCTGTAGCACAATAATAGTGGCGTTTGTGATCTATGCTTGAAAAACATCGTTCCACTTGGGTGGGTCATTCGCGCGCTTCTTCTTTGCCAATCCTTTTCGTGGACCCGCTCGATAAAGAACGTGAAGGGGGGCAACCTTGATTGGCATCTTGTATTCTTATCTGTAGGATCAAATCTTTGTTTCATAAATAACAGCCGATTGCAAATAGGGTAATGGCGATTTGCATTTAATTTGCGCCCTCAAGGATAGTATACAACCAAGTATTATTTAAAAATTTATCTCTGTGTGGAGATAAGTAAACAAAAGTGGAGCTTTAGTCCCCAAAAAGAGAAACTTGCCCATAGTTTAACCGGGTTGACATGTCCAAATGGTTTTATGGGAATGTACACATGGAGTAGATTAGATATGGTCTAGGTTCAAATCCGGGCATGGACACACGGTATGTTTCGTGATGGGTAGGAGTCACCCAGCCATCTGGCGGAATGCATAACGGCGATACCGGACGTAGAGTTCGAAACATAGAAGGATTAAATATACGAGCACTAGCGGAGTAGGTAATGCGAAAAAGAGTCTCCACAGTTTTTAATAACTAATACAATATGTATTATTTACTTGTACAATTTGTAATTAATTGTACAACATATTTTCAATAATATGATGTTTGCCTACGTTTGTAAGTTTTTTTTTTCCTATCACAGTCAAGTAAAACGTTTTTCTCTGATAAGAGTAAAAACAATCAAATACAGCTATGCATCAATATGTTCCCGGAATATGGCTGTGTACATGTGATTGACATTAGCCTACCAAACTACGGGATACAGCGAAAAGCTTTTAGCGGGTGTTTGACTTACCCGCGCACTGTTATTCGTCTGTTTTGTTTAACTATAAGACGAACCCGGTATCGTTCCCCGCTTAGATTTCTCCTTAGCATGTAATCACCGATGTGAGCGCGTGCGTGTGCGTGTATCTGTGTGCAAGTCCATCTGCGCCAATCGATATATAAGAAGTTCGCTCGTTTCTTGGTTCGGGCGTTTAAATTTTCTGATGTATTCCGAGCAAATAGTACAACAGCTATGTAAGTTAGCGAGGAGCAGCTGCTGTTGACTTTGTGTGATTGAAAATGATGGGACGAAATTCGGCCTCGACATCAGATGGTCACCGCAGTATCCCAGTGAGTTAGAGGTTGAGAAAGTAATTAAAATACGTTTGCTATCATCAAAATATAGTGCTACCTCACACTGTACACAAAACGTGTAACACATATTTTTAAACGACGTTTTACGCCATGGTATAATTTTCAAAGAATTAGGTATTTTTATCCAAATGAGCTTTGTAAAGCCTAAAGGGGATCATCTTTAGTGTTGGGAAATACCGTCTATTCGGTTATATTATGCGGGTGGTAGTGTCTGTCTAGCGAACAAGCTAGCAATTGGAAATTAACAAATTTTTGCAGCTCTTAGGTCTCAGATAAATACATAGATTATTCAAGAATAATCTGTGTATCTATCCATGCGACTAAAAGTCTAGATTCACGAGTTAATCAATTTAAACAACTTCTTAAGAAGAACGGATAGAACCGATTTTTTTTGTGGGTCGCTAAGGGTCTCATCGGTAAAAATTTGCGCGGTGGATGAAGCCGATTGGATGCGCGCTTTGCTCTTAAAGGACAGGGTGTGCCTTTCCTCATAGAACATGATGTTAATTTGGATGGTTACAATTGTCAACATAAGCCAACAATTTCGATCTTTTTTCCACGCGTAGAAACAACGTCATACTGTAGAAACGCGACTGCGGCCATTAGAATCGTCCATACTGATATATCATCAAAGATACAACTGTATGTGTGAACAGTTCGTTGTGCAAACAAATGTGTTTAACATGTGTTGCATGAGAAACTGTGTTTAAACCAAGTTGTGGAAGGAGCCTTAGGTTATAGCTGGAGGAAACAGCTGGCCGCCATTTGTTACTTTTATTGTAAATATAATTAACCTTTTACCTCTATATAACAACGTGTTTAATAGCAAGACTGGGACGGGATGGATTCTGTGATGCTAGAGTTTCATTTTGAGAAGTGCCGCATGTAAGATTAAGCCGATTGGTTTTGTGGGAATGTATTTTTCCATTTTATAAAGCGTAACTTGGACCGACTTACCAATTTTGGCAATTTACTCGACAATATTTGGTTGAGGATTCGTGGAAAGTTCATATTAAGGAACTGCATATTTTGAAGCTCTACAGAATGATGCGGCAAAATTTCGATTCTTCGCATTTTTGCTTCATAGTAGTAGAATGGTTTATAATTGATGAAATATCAACCATAATAGTTCATTTACTTCAAGTGTGCCAATATTTTTTTCTACGGGGCAATGTCGTCAACGAAGACAATGCCCTTCTGTAAGAAGGGCATAATGTCAACTGGGTCAATGGTTGACAAAATCTAAATATTATCCTTATTACCAACTATATATTATTTGAAATCATATTTATCCAGTCGGTTTAACTTTACGTGAGGCACTGTCCAAAATGAAAATCTGCCCAGAAATTAGCCGTCAAAACAGGTGCAAAGTTTCAGCACTAAGGCAGGGCGCAACCCGCAAGTTTTATATTTTTTTCTTGTCTCGTGTTCAGAAGTAAAAGGCTAATTGTATTTTTGAAAGAGGTGAAAAATAGCGGTTAAGAACCGTAAAACAAGTTCTGTCCTATAGGAACAAAGGTATGCACCGAGTCCACTTCATCTTTCACATAGATCTTTCTCTGGATTGGATAAAGCCGCTTTTCAAGCCATTTAATAATATATATATATATATATATATAGTAGACTGAAGCTTTACAACCGTTTCTGGAACAGCAAATCCGTTTTACGGTTGAGCGTTGTGCCTATAACAGCAGCGCTGCCTTATCGTGCATTCATCGGCAATTGTTACACTACCAAGGATCCAAGTCTTGGGTCATTTGCGATTCTTTCAAGGCTATTGTTGAGTACCAGAACCATTTGTTGTAATCTGTGATCGCACCTTTAGTGAAGACATGGAATAACATCAGTCCGCTTGTGCTGGAGCCACATACCAAATGCTGTGCTAAACACATTTCTGTAATTTGTCGAAATCTCCTTGTAGCGCAATGCAAAGCATTTTGGCGAATTACGCGCAATTTAAATGCTAAAGCAAGAACTGCAGGAATAAGCTACCGTACCCTTTGAGGAGTAGATACCCGAAAACTGATGTCAACTTGTAGTTATTCATGGCTAATGGCTGAAATGTAAAATATTTAGCGACGTATTGCGTAGGTATTCAGAGGATGTAATCGTGCAGATCTCCTGCGTATATTTGGTTTCGAGAAGAATCACATCAATTTGGAAGGACCCATAATCTAACCTCACACATAAAATAAGCGGTGATGACAATGACTTTTACCACACCGTTTCCGAGACTCAGAGAACCGCGTGAGAGAAGGAAAAAGCTACTAACTCCAATGACGGACTATACAGCGTCTGTCTAAGCAACTGCAACAATGACAAGAAGCAACAAAGGACGCCTAAGGAAAGCATAGCGGATGCTTGCTCTTCAAATAAATAGAGTATTTCAAACCACCTTGATTCTTGCCGCCATAATCGTGAGTTTATCGGAACTATGAAGCATCATCGTTAAGAAGTTGTAAGAAGTACCTAAAGCTCGGACACGTATCCGAGAGAAAGTTATTACATATAAATTTTTAGCAGTTAAAGTGGGAAAGCAAAACGATGGTCACTGCCTAGATTAGGAGGTTAAAATTAAAATCAAGAGTGGCATAGAAGGAGCTTCTAAAAAGTGAATTATGACCTAACTTAGGTCCTCATTAGCTACTGATTTTTTCGAACGTATATCCATAGAGTGGAAAAAAGAACAAGTGACTTGTGCATCGTATACAAAAGTGGCTTGTGCAACGGTATACTCATTATGATTTATACACTGTACATTTTCTCAGAGGAAAAGGGCAGAAACTGCAAGAGAAATAGGGCACACATTTATAGTCCACGCCATGATAAACTGGATGCTTCAGGGCAAAGGACATCGGGCTGCAATATCCGACGACATGATGAAGGTTACGCACACACTCAAAGAAAAAACAACAGGAGTGAACAAGACGTTGACAGAAAGCAGAACTGCTACAAGACCTGCATTGAATACCAAAGAGGATTCTCCAGAAGTCGCAGGGTACGAAAGAGAATTACTGGTCGAGGATTAATGGCAAAGGAATGTGCGAATATAGTGTGAACTGCTTTAGGTGAAACTGGTTACTAAAGTATCCCAAAACTCTACCGTGGCAAATATTGAGATGTGAGCTTGGTATCCATGTGCAAGATTTACATATCAACCTTCTAAAAAACGTGCTCGGAGACAGTGCGCGATATGCATACAGTATGTGAGAATGCTATAGACTACCATTCGTTACAACTGCCGATCACCGAATCGTAAGCTTAAAACATTCCACTTAAATAAAACAGTTATTACATCCGCGTGTTGACGGCTAGACGATTTCTATAATTGTTCCAAGATTACCGAGCAGACTTTTCATTCCGAAAATCGTTGGTTCTGCATAGTCGGTACCAAAACTGACACCTTCATAAACAGACTTAATAAGTAAAAAATTGTCACATATAGTTACTACATTAAGAATCTTATGGGGTTTAATAAGGTTGAGAAATGTATGCATTTTTATGAACGCCTTAGTCATTTCATGGTAAACTGAGCTCTACCAAAGTAGTCAAGACACAACAATTTTTATTTCATGTCTAATTCAACGTTTACCTTTTTGCCATGAAAGCCAGCCATTATTTAATTACTAATCGCAAATACTATAGTAAGAAAGAGCACAATTGGGAATGTTTTGTCGTTTTATTTGTTGTCCTTTCGCCATTGTGGCCAGGTGTCATAAAATATTCAAATCCGATTCAAAAAAAAATTCGGACTCACAAATACTTTGTTCTACGCTGGGAGCCAGCCATCTGAAGCGATGATCAACGGCAGTACCGGACGTTCAAAATATAACAACCAATGGGATATATTGACTAGTACCGTAATATATTAAATGCAAATAATGCTAGAATATTGGTAACATTGTTTAGATGGATGTAAATGAACACAGTTTTCCAAGCGCCTAGGTATTAAATACCAGGGAAATGCGTGAGTAGAGTTAATGAAACGGTAGCCGATTAGAGAATATGTGTATCTGATTTAAGTCTCTTTTACGGTAGCCTTCCTAAAGACAATAGGGCTTCTGTACTATTGGAGCAATGGCGGTTTTGCCTGCCATGAAGCTCTGTGAAGTTTAGCCCCCCAGTACTGTTCGCACGGGTGTCCAGTGGTGCATTTAAGTGTCGTATAGATTCGAACATACATACGTGACGCGTTCATTTTCTAGAATTTAACCCATTTCAATACTCGATACATTATATCTTTTGTTGGATAAGCTAGACTTTGGTGAAACAAAATAGCTGATTCGTGTTGTTCTTTTCCATTTCAGACTGGGGTATGCGTTTCCGGCAGGGACGTTGCGACATTGTTGTACTCGAAAGTTGTGGACCACTTGTCACATACATTATCAAGCCGAGGTGGGATGAGAACTTATGCGCGAAACGGGACAATCTTTATGCATTGCTCGTTAGTTGAAGCCGATTTTCTTATGGCAAACCGGCCACACGTTATACCGGAATGTCCTAAGGAGCTTAATGTACGGCGGGTATCTCCTCAGTGCGCCTCGGATCGATCTACATTTCAACCTGATCGACGAGTCAATATCCGGCGAATACTCCCTCAAATCTATGGTTTGACTCAAATGCTAAGGATTACACTGCATGATCCGCCGGAACTACCACAAGCGGGGATCTGTGCAAGCCTGGCAGCTGCCCTTGATCAAGTTGGCAGGGTAAAAGAGGTGGTATCGGTTGCCTCGGATAGTAACACATACATTGTGACGTTTCACGATTACGACTCGGTAGACGTATTTATCCTATTATGCATTTCGCAGCGTGACAATGGCGTTCCTCTACCGATCAGCGCCTTACCGGATGCACCTCCGCGTTCATCATCGAAACTGGTATACGATTGCCGGCCTTCGACAACGGCATTGTCGCATCTTCTTCGCGTTGGTCCACCAAACCTCTCAGCAGCAGGGCTCACGTTGGTATCGGCTAGTGACGACAAAGAGACGAAACCATTGTCGGACAGAGCTACGTCTGCAGGTGGTTTCAGCATTCAGACCGAGCGTTCGATATCGATTTCGCGTGCAAACCATAGAGAAGAGACTATATCACATACAACAACAAACGACCGGGTTTCGACACGCTCGCCTATGGCTACGTCCTCTTCAGCCAATCATGATAGCACGAGTATTACAACATCCGCTCGGGCACACTGTCCCAGAGGTTTACGGAACAACGAATCGGAGGTCAAACTGACGAAAGAACTAAAAAGAAAAGTTTATTCGCCTCCATCTTGTAAGCGAATCAAGACTGATATTAAACCGCCCTCTCCAATCCGGCAGCCGTTTATGCAGGATGTAGCTCAGCAAGTACCAGCTTCACGTGGAAGTCAACGACAACAACATTGGGAACTTCACAAATACGTCGGAGGACAGCGATCTAAAGAGAGTATTGATCTTTGCTCACTCGGATTTCCTATTGCGATTGGTCGCGATCCTGTACGGGCGAAAATTCAGGTTGGAGGACCTAGTATGCAGGTCAGTCGCTTGAACATATGCTTATCACAGTATTCTTTGTGATATTCTATTAGATAAATAAGCCCTCTAAGCGATGTCCAACATTATGCAGCTTATTGCCTAAACATTTTGGCTATTTCCTAGAGACACCGAACTTAAGCGCAGTGACTAATTATAAGATCGTCGTAGGCTATTCTGTGAAAGCAGTTTTAGCGGCGTGTACAAGGTAGTAATAATATTGCCGATGTGCCCACTTCTGCATCTTTAGAACATTTTAGTTTCTTTAAAAGTGAAACTAACTGTTATGCTGTTTCGATTAATGTCTTACACTAGGCTAAATAACAGCTGGATACTAAGCAATTATTTGCACCAAATTTTTTTTGCACGTGTCGATTTTTTTTCAGAGGTATAGAAGCGCTTAGCTTTACATGTAAAGTAAATGACCATTAAAATACCCTTTTTGCATAAGGCATGTATGGTTAATCTATTAAACAACGACCAAACGTCTTAGTGTACTTCACTGTATGAAATTCTGGTACTCCTTTATGCTTAGTACTTAGTACAGATCCATGACACCTGTTCGTAATGGCCCTGCGCGCCAAATGAATCACTCCAGCAAGTCGCAGTTCTAGTATACAACTGACCTTTCTTAGATAATTTTTAGACTTTTTTCTAAATTACAAGAGTACGGTTAATCCGCAGGTGGTCGATTTACGAACGGTCGAAAGAATCAGTTAGGTAGACTCGAAAGAAACATGTAAATGTCGTTCCTGCTAATAGCGTGAGTGAGAATTATTCCTTACTTATAGAGAACGTATCTGATGTATGCAAATGACATATCGAAGAACAGACACTTGCATAACACTTGCAGGACACTTGCAGGATACATGCATATGCAGTTCAAGTTACTGTAATGCGATTCTTCCCTTTACGTAAGATTATTTTTCAGCTTCAGTGTAACTCTGGAAAATTTCTAATTCCGGATTCCGAAAAATCTAGAAGACGCAATTTTTCAAGCGTGAATCTGGATTGCCAAAATAGCCGTTAGCTGTATCTATCGACTACCAAATATAGTAAATATCGATAAAAAGATAAATCAGTTACTTAAAAGGCACTAGGTCTAAGGTCCCTGATGTAAGGGTTCATATAGAGCAAGTGTAGTCTATGCCGAGTGCTTAAAATATACTGATAATGTGTGTCTAGTAATTTTCATTATACTAATAATTTAAGCCATTACCAATGTATTTTCGCAGATACCGACACAAATATTGCTATAAATATCCAACTAGATATTTATACATTAAAACTGCCGAAACAACTTGTGAAGTAATGCGATCGGTAAATATAAATCGGTTTTTCTCGGTTTCAAGAAAAGTTACACTACCGTACGCCGCTTGTCACGACAAACGTAATAACTGGATTGAGGTACGCCGATACTTCTCTGTACAAAACGTAGTCTACAGTTGTGCAGTAACGTCTAGAACAATTTGGCTGAATAAAACTTTGTATACAAAACAGTAGTGTGTATGAATACTGAAAAGCGTCAAGTTGTATCTTGAGAGTTTCTGCTATAAAACAAAAGTTGTTCATTTTTATGAATATAACTTGCAGCATGTGAGTCGTCTCCATGTCGAACTACATGAAAATAAGGCTTTCGGTGAGTCTGCTAATTCATTGCGGCTCGATTGCCACTCAGCTAATGGTACTGTAGTTGATGGAATTTACGTGAAGAAAGGTGACTGGGCTGAGATACGTGAGGGTTCTTCATTTATCCTCGGTGACGTCTCTTACCTGAAAGGTTCTGATGCTCCAAATCAAGAACTTCGGTTTACCCTACATCGAGCGTCTGACCAAGACGCCAGCAAGGAAAACTGTAGCAGTTCCGTACATCGGAATACAACTATGCAATGGTTAGCAAGTTCAACTAAAATATTTACAGTGGATATATTTTAAAATTAGAGAAATTAACTAAGAATAGGATTAATATTCGAGATTGCCTAGACTAATACCTTTAAAATGGTGAAGAACAAGCCGCATGTACGTTTAATTGAAAACGTTTTTGAAAATGCATTTCCTAGCATTCAGCTGTGGCAGCAATTTGAATAAATAGGGCGCGCTATTTTTAGTCATTTGTTCTAAATATTTATAATTAATTTTGTGAAATATTTATTGGAAGTATGTTTATCGAAAGTAAAAGGAATTTCGAACTACAAAAAGACCACGCCATCACAATATCTGACTCAGAAGAGGAGAAAGATGTAAAATCCGATATTCAGCCGTCTCTAATGCTTCGGAACCCTGCGGCTAATCACAGTAGATCAGACGATATGTTTAATGAAATAATAGTTTTATCGGATGACGACGACAACCCAGACGAGATCTCGGAAAATAATCAATTTCAGGTAGGTGTTAAGGGTGCATGATTTGTAGTATATCGTATACAAAGCTTAGTGCAATATTTTGAGTTAAAGAAAATTACCAGTTCAATTACTTAGTATTCTTTCAAAATAGTTCAGGAGGTAATTCAATTAAAGAAAAAAGCAAGGTTTTTCTGCTACGTAAAATTGTCTCTTAGTTTCGAACATTTCTTGTAAAATTATTGTCCCACAACACCACTTGACGCGTCCTATGGTTTTGCGATTTAAGCTACTAGAAGAAAAACGAAAGCGTTACATTTTTTCAAAATAAAACGTGTTCCCAGGTAATTCGTATGGTAATTTTCTGTTTTTGTAATGTTAATGTTCTTTGCAGCAATTGGTAATGAAATTCAAGGACGAACCGATCGACGACGAGGAGTTGCCTTTTAGTCCTTCAGCTAATAAAGCCACAGCCAATACAAATGTCATTGTCTGTACCGAAAGACCGCTTACAGCTAAAGTATCCCATGGTCTTATATCAAATCAAGTGAGCAACGCGCAGAGCAGCGAAAATCGTCCAAGTGGAGGAACAGGTAGCCCAGCCGTTGCGTCACCTACAGTTCAAGAAACTATTGTCCCTATTCTAAGTGTTCCTAATCCTACTGTTACGCACTTCAGCCATCCTAGTTTAGGAAAACCTGCTTGTGATCTATTCAAATTGAATGTGACGACATCGGAACGACTACAGCCCATTTGCAGTGGAACACCGTCCCCCAGCGATTCCTCTACGAGGCCCATAGAGCGCGAGAGTAACCAACTACGCTCGCGTCGAGCGTCGAGTCCTTCAGTTGGGCACCCACGGTCATTACCTCAGATTCGTATAGGCTTTGACGCCTTTCGTCGATGTCTGCTTGATTTGCGGCTCGGTATCGGCGATTTACCACAGCCGTGTCTGGTAAAATTTACTAATTACGTAAAATATAGCGGAATTCCTAAAAATATCACCGAATTGACGCGACTTCTCTTTTCCTGTTTCTGCCTCGAGGCTTCTGCAAGGGTAGAGATCGCGCTATGCCGAAGGGACCGTCGAAGGAGTCAGCCGCAACCACAGATGAAAGATGAATTGTCAGTAATATCGTCACTTATCTCACAAAAGCAGGTGGCCGACGGGGTTCTCAGAGTAAGATTGATTGCTGCTTGTGACAACGGCGCTGGACGGCCGTTAGAGAGTGTATCAGTGGTATTGCTGCACGTGGTGTGTGTACGGCGCGGTGGGAAGCAGTTACGATCACGTAGTTTGCTCGGCCTCGTATACAGCAGCGAACGTAAAGACCGACGGGACAGGAGTGGGACCGTTGCTGTGCCTGATGTGTTAGCAAAAAGTGAACAAAAATTGGATGTTGTCGATGACGTCCTAATTGATTTGAACGCCCACGAACTTGACGGGTAAGCGATACTGCGTTGAGATAAAAACATTTAATGGTTTTGGCCTTACTGGCCTATTGAATTATGCGTATCTAAAGCATTTTTTTGTTCATCACTATAATGCTAATTTTTAGACATATGCGAAATATGAACTTACAGGATACGTTTTCTAATACATGATAACGTTTGCGGAATGATTGATATATATATTTTTATATATATATACACATATATTGGATGTAGTAAAAATCAGAAGAAGTATATAAGAAGTTTTTTAAGGAGTATGGCAAAAAAAAAGGATGCATTTAATAATCTTTTTAATATGATAATTTATGGTTTCCGCTCAGACTTCAATTACAGATTGATCAACTGTTACAAATAGAACGTTTGTGCGAGGTGAATGAGCTTAAGAAAGTCGTCTCAATGCGACAGATGCCATCGTCGCACAGTATGTTTCTACTCGGTCCTCCGTATTCCTCATCCGCATGTCCGATTTGGAGTCCCCAAGATGCTTCAGCGGCCCAGACGTCACAGTCAGACACGATGCAGCGCGTTATGACCCGAATCGCACGTACTCCAAAGCTAAGTTCAGAAGAGAGCATTGTAGTATGTGCTGCTCTGGCTCAAATACTTGATCATCCGACGGAAGACTGCGAAGGCATACTTACGCCTACTACAATGCTGGTTCACGGTGCGGCGGGAAGTGGCAAGACAGCGACCTTACTCGAAGTAGCACTCCAGGCTGTGTTAGCAAAACCGCAAGAGACTGTGCTGGTCTTCTGCAAGTGGCCTCAAGCCGCTGACCAGGTGGCGCTTAAGTTACACGGTATGTACGGTATATTTAGACAACGATTAATTCTGACGAACTTATACCCATACAATCTGCAGTTGCAAAAGTATACAGCAACTCAAATCGGCTGCAGCTAAACAGCAGAAATCATGCATTCTTGTTTATTGATGTGATTTTTTTTCAAAATAGAAAATGTCTTGCAAAAAAAATTTATGGTTGGTTCTAAATTTTTCACTGCTCGAAAACTGGAACACAGAAAAGCTTTAAACTATATGATGATTAGTTGTATTCATAATTGTAACCTCATTGCAGGCCTAATAGAATCTCGCGGTTACGGAGATCGCATTCGCGTGACACGCACTGGCCGATCCCGTCATCCAGCTGTTGCATCAATCACACTCAGCGAGCGCGCGAAGCAAGCACATGCCATAGAGCATGAAGGCTCCTTGAATAAGCTAAAGTTCTCTATTGGGGAAACGAAAAAAGTCATTCAAGGACTTCGGCATAGTCTTGAAGATCAGTTAACCGAGCTGCCTTTAGCCGTTAAAAGAAAGTACGTGAGAATAAGCTAACTGCTTCAACGCAATACGAGTTAACAACAAATCAACGGATGCATTGTTTGCCCTTATAAATTCAGCGCCCCATATACATATCCATTAACGAATCGAAGCGACAGATAACTATTGAGCGGAACAAGTTTTTTTGTTTTTGCTTCTTGACGGTTTTATGAGAATTTAACTTTTTATAGGAAATTGCAAGAAATCGCGCAGTTTGAGGAGGTTTTGCTTAGCGAACAGGAGCAACTTGCCCGGGAAGAAAAGCGACTCTATCAGGATGAATTGATACGTGAGTCATTTGCAGGTCGGCGTCGTCGTATTCTCGAGTCTTCCAATATTCTAGTGTGCGGCTACATTGACGTAGAAACATCGATTATCGGATACGCGTTCGGTAAGGAGTCCTATAGAAGCACTTGGTCTAGAGGTCCATGAAAATAACCTATCAAATGATGGCACAATTTTCAAGAATTCTTTATTACACAATAGCCTACGTGCACAATATATCTACTCCGACGCTACTTTGCATATCCGTCAATATACTAATAAATATTTCTCTATTTGTCGCTGTGACTTTCTGTTTACAAATTAAAGTTGTTACTAATATCACTATTCCGAAATATGATTTTATTACAAGTGTTCATACTGTTAATTGCAGAACGCACTCACGGCAAACGGATTTCTCTTATATTGGTGGATCAAGCGCAAGAGATCTCTATAGGCGACCTCGTTCCTGTAATGCAGTTACCTGTTAACCGCTTAGTGTTTTTCGGAGATCGAAATCAAAGTAGGTTTTGGAGGCCGAAGCATACGATTGTCCGAAACACGGATCTTTTCAGACAATCTGCTTTTGAAAGGATGATCGCTGCGTGTCCTCAAAAAGCCTTCTATTTAAAAACTCAGTGGCGCCTACCGAGCCCGCTAGACGGGATCGTCAACGTTATGTTTTATGGAGGTTTGGTAACGTTCAAACTAGGTAGAGATAGTATCGTCATTCTATTACGTTGATATGAACGCTTTAGAACTCCTACATTTTGATCTACACCATTTGTAATGCGAAACGCAGGAAGTTATGGTACGATTTTGCTATATATATATACAGGCTTTTTTCTGATTTGTTTTCTAAAATCATATCTCAACAAAAAGTGTATATTTGAACGTAATTTTCTGAACACGCCAAGAGTGTAATTTCTAACTATTATGTTGATTTGCCATAACCTCAGTTCTCTTCGATTTAAGGCTTAAACCGTTCATAGTCCTTGTCTCAAATATTTTTTTCTTTAAATTTCGCTTATTTCTTCTTGATGGCATCAATGCGTCGCAAAGTCAAGATTCGCCGTATCCGTAGCAATCCAAACGATTCAAATCTAGGCCATATGCGCTTAGCCCGAAACAACGTCAGCTTTTTAAGCCGTCCATCCTACACGTAGCCATAGAAGGAACATCGTATGTATTAAGATATGCACATATGTAGGCTATAACAGCAGTACTTTTGTCATGTATATTTTCCTAGGTCGGCTACGGTCAATGCGTGACAAAACTGCTGTGGCGCCGAATCGGGATCGGTTGGACTGCGCAATTAAGTTAGCCGCTCTTACTATGATCAACGTAAGCACTGCCGAGCTTCTACCTTCTAGGGATCTTCCTCGCGCCCCGATTCAGATGATTTGCAACGTTGTCGAAGCGCTAGCTCCCCATTCTAGCCGAATTCATATCGTGTTATCGTTCGCCAGTAACCATATTCCGGTATCCCTCCTTCCACCAAACTTAGCCTCACGCTGTGAGGCCCAGTTTATTGGGCCCGACCTTTTGACGCATGTCGCTGACCCGAATGTCGTGGTGCTTCCTTTATTTAACCTGCCTTTTGTCGACGAACTCTCTCGCCGCGATCCGCCTTTGCTGTGTTCCATCGTGACTCGTCCTAACACATCCCTTATAATCGTTGGACACCTGACAGCTGCAGGTAAAACAGCCGAGAGAATCGAGGAATTGGTCCAACGAGCAAAAAGAGCCAATCGTTACATCAACGAAAAGCCTGCTTGGCTAACAAAAATTACGCCCCGTAATTTGTCACAATACCTAATGGAGTAATTAGCAGTCGGCAATTTTATTACCTAGACTGATAATGTTTGCACGTATCGTAAATGAGCTCAGTACACAATGAAATGTCGTAGGGTAAAAACAATTAGAAGGTGAACTGATTCAATATTGAATCCCTGAGGATTTCTGATGTGATTTTGGTTATGGAAGGAGGTATGGAGGCGAGAATTGATTAGACAATTTTGAGGCATCCGCCCGAGCGGGTGGAGCTAATTAAAATCAGCTGTAAATTGTTTGCTTTAGCGATTTGCTGGGGGCAAGCGAAATTTTGTTAATATATAAAAACACTCAGCAAATTAACGCACCGGAAGATCGCCCATTTTTTCTTATTTATTCAGCGGCGACGCAAGACATAAGCTAAGAAAAAACCTATAATGCTCAAACTAGCTTCTCTTGCTCATATCCTTATTGGATTATCTTCTAATTTTTTTTTCGACCACGATAACAAACACTATTATCTGGTGTAATTTTTATACGTGGCTACTCTCTCTAGATTTTTGACGCGAACTGCAATGTCCACAAACATTATTGACTGCAGTGGGGTGGATCGCTTAAAGTTAGTCACAATGAGCAGCTGGTTAATGATTGGCCTATACATGGATGGAAAGGAATACGCTTGCGTTTCGAAACAATTTTAATAGATATGTATTTATTATACATTCCTGAAGAAGTACTCACAATGTAACATTTGTATATAACGGGCTCGCTCTAAATATAACTATATTTAAAAGCTCCCTATAGCAACCAATGTTTACTGTTACAAATATATTACAGCTTAATTTATATGGAATATAGGTGGACATTACGTTAATGTGAATAAACCTATTCGTTCAAAATAGTAAAGAGTATTATTTCAGCATACTTAAAAGCAGCCATTGATGACTATGATTTAACGATGTGTCAAGAAGTTAACCATTTTACTGTGGATTACTGTTCAAGTGCGCATTTTTTGCAATGCCATATTCAACTATTATTACCTTCTTTGGTTGTGGTAAGCATTGTATAGCGCTTTTTCAATATGTGTATCATAACTCAAAGTTATCGTTGGAAACGTTTATAAAGCATTTCGGAAGATTAAAAGTTTAAGCTGGGGGGCAAGGCCTGCTATAAAGTGCTCCCATATTTTTATAGAAACGAGAGGGGTGAACTTAAAAAACCAGGACCTATTCTTGTAAACAACCGAGCGAATTAACCCGTATACACTAAAAGAACTAATCGCTTGGCGGGTTTGACTAATTGTTACATGAATCACTTTCGAAAAACAAATTGTCTGTTTAGTTGCAGCTGTGATCTGCCTAAGCTCAAGTTTACAACAATTTCACCTAATCGATAACCAAGGTTTCTCATAGGAGAAGTTGACCTTGATTTGCAAGTAGGCGAGAGAAACTTGTGGGAAAGGATAACTGAGCTCATTAATGACGTTATATGAAATTCCTAGAGTTGTTTGGCGAACTATTTCACTTGCGCAACGGCTCCGTTGATTGTGCGTAAGCTTTTGTGCGTCAACTGTAGGTGGTGAAATGTGTTTAAGCTTAGACAGCACGGTGTGGAACATATTTATTATTGGTAAGTTCAGATCTGCTACGCTACTCGAATAAAAGGAAAGCCTTCAAAGGCAAAAGCGAAGAATAAATAAAAATAGCTGTCGACGGACTGAGTGTACGTTTTTTTAGTACAGTTTACTAATAAAACGATTGAGTTTCAATAGAAATTTTATTATACAGAATAACATCGGATTTTAGATTACAGATACTGTTTTAATATCCATTATGACGATGTGCCTGCTTGTAGCTTTGTTTAATTTTGATTAAAGAGAATCGTAAAATCGTTTTTTTTATCATTTAAAATGTAACCAATCAAGAATACGTTTTTACCTCTCACATCTTACATAATATATCATATTTTGTTAATGTTTAATCGATGGTCCACTAGACTTTAGATTTAGCTTCTAGCAAATTCAAATTAAAACTCTCTAATTTTTGAAGTTTTAAAAATCTGCCTTCTTACAGAAAAGAACAGTACACTCTTGTCTATATAATGGGTAATACTGAGAAATAAATCATGTTTGCTTCAACCTGAAGCAAATTCTAGTGGTCACCCCCTGCCTGATCGTTTATAAATAAGATCGAACAGAGTACTTATATTTTCGTTCCATATTACCATGATTAGAGCAGTGAAATGCTCGAGAAATTCAGTACATTTTTAAATAAATTAGTGATAACTTTATCCATCATAGAATCATGTAAGTAGGTGTAGATTCATTCGTAGAACCTGGCTTAAATTCTATAGCATTTCTCCACTTTAGCATATATCAAGGTAATTGGTCTTCTCTCTGATAACAAATAATAAATGTTAAACAATTCATGGACCGGTTCGTGGACTTACTTTATAGGTTGTGTATGTCTTAGGAAAAATAATTCGTGCGTCTGTAACTTCTCCTACCTCACGAAAACGTCTTAAAGCTGCTACGACTTATTGTTTCATGAAAAGTCTATGTATTCAAAACGTTAGTCATTAATAATCTGACAATTTCTTTAATTGTCAGATTATTAATGACTAACTTAATTTATAATTAATAATTATATATCTAAATAATAATTATATACTAATTAATAATTATTAATCCATATAAAAGTTCTGCTAGCGTACATAAGGTAGGTGAATAAAAAACATTGCATAAAACTTTTTTGACCCCTAAATGTGTGATTTTGCTCTAGTTTGGAGATCTAGTCTATGCAAATAAGTGGTTTTGTTGTGTTTTAATCGTGGGGTATTTTTCGATAGGAAGTTAATGGGGCTGCTTCATTTCTTCCGTCCGTACACGAATTCTACGCTAAAGCAGAGCGCGTTGTATATAAATACTTCTGCAGACCCGGCGATGCAGCACACACTTGGTAAACATTCCTGTCCATATACAGTATCACGAACTGAAAATAACGACATTCGAGAAACGATTCTTGTTTCGTTGAATAATTCTATAATTTAATATTATGAAGGGTCATCAAAGATCTTCACTAAGTGACGTATAAGCTCGATAATAAAGAAATTATTCAACGATCACAGTAATTCTGATACTGAATTTTGATGTGATTATTACAAAACCTCGTACAGAACTGCAGTTTCATTAATTGAACCATTCTCTCTTTAATAGGCAACACAGAAGGAAATTTGAAAGGAATATTGGGCTTTAGTTCCAGCATAACAAAAGTGACTAATGAGATCCGCTATGCCTATTTTGCTATTACTCAAGCATATTTCACGATATTTAGGATGTATTTCCATAGGCTAGCATTATGTCTGGTTTCTCTTGGAAAAGTTTAAAGAAGCTGGGTAAATAGACTATGTGAGAGCAGAGGAGATATGTTACTCATTTTTAGATATTCTAGCGAACAGATGTGCGTATAATGTGTAACTGATGGTTTTTTTTGTAAGCTTAACCGCAAATGCAAAAACAATGCAAACCACTCAAAATTAGCAAAACGAAGTTCTAATCAGTAAGTATAGCTTTTGTTAAAAAAATTCAATTCATAATCTAATGCCTTGATCTATTAACAAAAGTATCAAGACTTCTAAAACGTACCCACGGAACGGCCCTATATGCCGAATAAATTTAAAAAAAGTCTTTGCAATATTATATGTTATACTAGAACGAGTTCACACTGCCTAAACTGTCGTATCATGGACTATTATATCAAAGAATATACACAGTATGGTGAGTGATTTTCCAAACGCGTAAGAATCCGTTTCTCTCAAAATACGTGTTACTACAGTCGGTAGTAAAAATGTTGACGCGTTCTGTCAGAAAATGTTCGGTTCTATCCGAATGATTAATGACTCAGGCCGGTAGTTTATGATAGCTCGGCAATACAGCTAATGGAGCTCTAGTTGCAGTTACAAATCTCCAAAGTAAAACTGGAACCTTCCTCCTATAGAAGTTTACTCCTCCAAAAGTATTATTTGTGTCTAGACTAAGGTTAACGTATACTACTACGATATTGCAGTCCTTTAGTTCTGGAAGATGTAAAAACCAGAACTATTAGGCCTGAATAGCTGGAGAGGAATAGTTACATCTGATTAATTGGCCTACCGCTTTTAATGAAATGTCAATGACTGTACTGCTAAACTGATCTAATCTTGTTTGGCCCATTCAAGCAATTAAGTAATGAGATCGGTCATATAAAATCGAAGTAACGTTCGAAATATATAAGCAAACGTATGTCGTAAACGTCAGATTAATTAAGTATTATTGTACATTAGTGCGTGCGAGCTTCGCCGTCAGTGAAGCTATTCAGCTTTTCGGAAATCGTACAAAATGCTATGGAGAGCTGGGTTGCCTAAGCACTGGTGGCGCCTTTTCAGATTATAATGCAAGACGTTCGCTTGTAAGTTCCTTACCCTGGGATAGGGAACGCATCCAAACCACGGTAGGCTATTTGGATTACTTCATTAAGCGGCCAGGTGTGTTACTTACTGCAACGATATAAGCAAATCTTTTTTGAGATCTTAGTAACCGATACGTCTCGAATCATAGTTTCGTATGTTTTAAAGACTAAAAGCTATATCCTTTAAAGCTACCATTAGGATGTTATAACGATCGTAACTTCTCCGCGTATATCGAGGCAGAGTAGTTACTATATATGCGTACGATTCTTCTGGCAACTACAAAAACGCGGATACAAAATTTTGGAGCAGACCTGACATCCCCTCAGGGAAACAGGTACACTAAAAGTAACTCAAGTAGCTCTCGTTAGGCGTGGTTCGAGATCTATCAGGAATCCGCATTTTTTTTGCCTAAAGTATTACTAATTATGAGTATGTTGGCCGAATGTTTTATACGAGGCAGCGGATCGACATATTAAGTGTTTCGAGATTAAAAAAAGTTAAAAATATAGAATCAACAGTTTAGTAAAATTATAGTTGATCAACCGCTGCTATTCTTCGTTTGAATTCTCACAAGTGTTTCCATCGGATAATTTTTGAAGAACTATAATAAATACAATGTAGCTTGTCTAATACGCTACTTTGTAAATAATGTGTAATCTATGTTCAGTTTGAATTTTCCACACGCAGACATCCTTCACCCTATCGCCTACGTGGTAATGAAATCACCGAAAAATCTCTCAAAAGAATTGAATTTGATCCAGCTCTGCCAGTCTACGTCTTCTGCCATGGGTACTTCACCTTTAATACCAATGAGAAAATTTATCAGGTACGAATGCGTATCCCCTTTAATATACTTTAGTTTAAAATATTATAATAAATCGTTTAAATAAACGTAATCTTAAAAGTAACTTTATTCCTTTTTTCTGTTGTTTACTTGCGTTGGATTCCGTTAGAAGTGACAAATAGGTAATATTGAAATGGTAGTGGAAATCTTTTCAATTTTGATGTTAATAAGCCATTTTCTTTAGTTGGCTCATTCTAGAAATCAGATTAATTTTGAACTTCGAGCATTATTGGAATTCGACCTGTGCTATGTTTGACATCGGTCTCTCACATAATAGCAGCTGGAATTCGAGCCACGTTACATTACCATAATAAATGATTCACTTTTCCCTAAGATCCTTCAAACAATTGCTCGAACATTTTGATAAAAGGTACTCATTGATGTCAAAAAATATTTTTTGACATTTTTGACATATTAAAAAAAATTTGAGGCATCCTACATTTTGAAATCCTAATTTTGTTGCAGCAAGTAGGCGAATTAACAACTACCTCATTTCATGAAGTAAAACCTTTTATCTTACTTGAGCTCAAAGAAAATGTCTATTGCTTATAATATATATATATATATATATATATATATATATATATATATATATATAATAAAAATACGATAAGTGCAAAAAAAGATAATACCCCAGGGTGACGTCAAAACGTGATGATACTATATATTTAGAAAAGAATCGTGCGTTATTAGATGCTGGCACCAGGCAAAACAATTGATTCGGACCTTTATTGTTAACACAAAATCGATTAGAACTAATTAATATTAAAAAAAGCGTCATTTTTCTCTAACACAATGCTAGACCACCCACATCTTTAATTATCTAACAAAGGTTGAGAGACCTTGGATGAGAAATTTCAATGGTATTTACCATATAGTCTAAATCCTGCGCTGTCATTTTTTTGAGTCTCTGCAGAATTTTCTTTATGGTGCTAATTTAATTCTAATACAGGGATCCAAAAGCACTTGTGACAGTTTTTTGCCTGGGAATCGTAGTTCTCCGATTATCGGATTATGGTGTTATTACAAAAATGGAAGAAGGTCGTGGACCAAAATGGCGTATAGTTAGTTTAGTCATATTCTAAAGTACAAAAACATATTTGCTTCAATTCTAGTTTAAAAACGGTCCATGTTTTTCGACAATCCAGTATTGAAAAATGTAGTGATAGTAACTTGACTTTCTATTACTATCCGAACTTAACCGCACAGTATTTTTCCGCTTATGTCTTCTATTATATTAGGACTCCACATTCGTACTTACAGGCTATTATCGCCATCCGAATCAGGCACTTCCGACGTCACGATAGACGAATAATCTGATCACGGGCGTATCTGAATCCTCTTATTTTCAACTCGATTTAATGGTGTAGTGTATCTTCTTATCTATATATACATAATATTTCGAAATGAAATCTGGTAAAGACAACCTCAGAAAACGAGTGAATCTGGCCACATATTTGATCAATTTGTCCTAAGCTAGACTGACCTAGTGTCTAGTTCTAAGCTAGTACGGTTACATACACTTACTCTTCTACACATTAATATTTTTCACAAGAGAGTCCACAGCGTGCACATACGCAGTAGGAAGCACTCTTAATCGATAATGTGTGCTAATCTTATAATAACCTCGCTGTTTAATCTTTTCATTTACTTCCACACATCGTCCTTCATGATATCTGAATCTAAGCATCTGGCGTCAATCTCGAGCACTGGAGGCTCGTCGTTGAAGGGCTGCCTTGCGCGAAAGTTGAAGCGTGCCCTCAGCTCTTTGATGAACAGGGCGATTGAGGAGCTTAACGCCTCACTAATTAAAATTTCCTAGACCATCTTTACTTCGTAGACCGCCAACGGCACAACCTATAGATCGAAAACCCGCGAGGCAGCAGATGTTGGCAGAAGGTGAAGTTTCCTAGTCATCAGCATGACTGAGGGGGCCTTTTGGCGTTATCAAGTATGAAGCAAATGCTTTTGGTGGTTGGGAGCAGACCACGCTAGGATAATTTATATACGCAGGGAAGTTCGGAACTGGTCTATTTTAGAAGATCCTCGAATAGAATACATCCTCCCCGTCTGAAACTTATTACCGTCGTTTTTGCTTAATTAACAGGTCACCTGAATTCAGCAGAGACCGCGTACAGCCTGACCGCTGTCTAGTGTACAATGAAGTTGACCAGGTCGCATTGATCCCGAATTATGTTAGGCAGATCTTTTAACAAGGTCGACAACAGTAACGACCTGAGTTTATCTCCTTGAATTATTTCGCTAGTTTAAGGGGAGTGATGCAGTTTGGCCACTCTGTCGTTAGTTCGAATCATTATCTCTCTTACAGAAAAACTATAAAATGGTTACTAGCAGATGTCGCTAACAGACATTTAATGGCGCCCAGATCTCTGCCAGTATCTTTAGCACAGTGCTCCAGGGGGCTGAATCGGGAACTGCTTTGAGATTCTTAAAAGCTAGCTGGAACGATTTTGCTAGGGTCCGCTTGGTGTCGTCCAGCAGGGTAGAGCACGCTCTCATGATAGAACGGCTCAGTCTTACGGCATGCTGTTCTCTTATGTTTACCGAACTGATCTACGGAGTCTTTTTGTGTTCTTTTTAAATCTTTTTGGGCGATAATTTGTAGTAGGCGCATTTCTAAACTATGCCGGGTTAAGAGGCCGGCTGGACCAGCCTTGTCTTTCAGAATGATGAACAGGACAGCCTCAAACCACTTTAGAAGTAGCAAGCCTGCACAAAGGCACCCACTAGGGAGCTCGTGTCTTTCAGTGCGCGTTTCTGATTAGGTCAGGTCCCGCTGCCTTGGCTGAGTACAGTACATGAAGTATTTACACAATGTGTAGTGTAAAGAACCCGTTCTCCTGACCTTTTTCGCTCGTAAATTGTACACGCTGCAATAATCAACGAAGGATCTTTCGGACTACTACCAAATATACCCGCAGAATGCTCTGTTAAAAAATACGAGTTAATCGGACAAACTGACGATTCCTGACCGAAGAGCCGTTAGTAGAAATGACGTTCTATCTTCTTTTACCGCTCAAGGTAATTCCGTATCTTCGAAACATAGATTTTCCAGCAAGTGATTTCGAGACGGTCTGAGCGGAACCTCATTGCCAAGTACGCATCAACTAAGGCTATATGCTGCGTACGTCCCTCTGGCCAGAAAATTTATTGAACCATGGTTGACAAATGGAGCATTTAGGTGGCAATTGGAGCAGGGCGAGTGGGCAAAGGAACTGAGGATTTGGACAAACCATTGCGCATTGATGTCGATTTTCACACGGCTGGGCACATGAATCACTTCACGTATACGAACTAGACTCTCGACTGAGACACCGTAGGAGCGGTTCCCGTCTTCATCGAAGGTATCAAAAAATTGCGCGTACAACAATCGGTGTGTGTGCCTTAATATGCGCTTTTTCCTTGAAGGGGTGATTGTCACCAACGTACTTTATTTTACTGGGCCCTTTATTTATGGTGAAGATATCAAGGGGTTTTCGTCGTGGCCTATGAAATTCAGGACGATGCTGAGGTTTACAATTCGGAAGCTAAATCTGTTAGCGTTCTCCGAAATGTCAAATAATCGTACTCATATATTTTCAGCAAGCCTGTCTGCGACGAAATATAACAGCTATCAATTCAACCGAATATATCAACTAGGAAAAGATAGTTAAAAGGGTGTGTCAGAGTAGAGTAGAAGAGATCAAAACGGAAGGAAACGTCACTCCTACTACTGTTTAGTCCGTACATCCAACCTGACCAAAATGATATGCTAACAATCTAACTCAATTTGTACTTAAGGCGATCAGAAAAAATTTCCTGAAACACATAAACTGTAATTTCATATTCGTCGACTGGAGCAAAGGCAGCGTAAACGCATATTGGACTTCGACTGCCAATTCACGAATCGTTGGCGTAGAGCTCGCTCTGTTACTCGAGAAACTGATCGTAAGTACAAATATTAAATTCGAATATTATAATTATTATGAAATTTCAGGCAGTAGCCTTTTAACGTTAATTTATTGCACTGTACTTCCGAACAAACTAAAATCTGCCGAAAAAAGTTACACCTTGGCTTATTCCCGTTATTTGTTTGCGTGCATTTTTGATTTCGTTTAGCTGCCGTGATATGGTCGGGTACACGTAGATGTCGTATTTGTTCCTTTCAAAAATATTTCCACAGTTTATAGACTTATACTAATTTTATTCATTCCTACATAAGGTAGTTTCATCGGTATAGAACACGACTTACTATTTTTCGATAATCAATTTTAACTTAGTCACCACACCAAATGCCAGTTGTCGCACAAACATTTAAAAAAAAAAGTCAATAACGTGAATCTCCTGTTTTGACACAATTTCGAAATGAAGATAAGTGTGTATATGTATTACAAGATACTATCATCACACATCTTACTGAAAACAAAGAAAAGAGCAATTTTTTAACTTAATCTATAACGATGAAGATAATAACGTGAAAAGCAACTATTGGTTATGACAACCTTTAACTATATGTGCGGTCTAACGAGCATAGTTCTCTAATGTCCACAGGAGTATTTCAGAATCGAAAAATCCAAAATTTATCTAATGGGACACAGCCTTGGCTCGCACATCATCGGCTACGCCGGACAGCGTGTGCCAGGTCTACAAAAGTTGTTAGGTTAGTTATATAACAATGAATTATATAATGCAAAGTTACTTTAAGACTAATTATATTCCTAATGGCAGGGTGTTCCTCAACGAAAAAGCTTATTCTGACGTTCACTGTCATTGGAAAGCTTTAGTCATTTTAGGATGGATGGAGAACACCAAAAGGTTTCTGAAATGATCAGTTCTCTCCTTGTTGACTCGAGGTGCCTGTGTATCCGTATTTCTATTATAATCGTCATAAGTCCAACACTTTATCCGTTTTTTGTGAAAATCTGAATTCGATCTCGTAACGCTATCCCTCAACACACAATGGCAAATCTTTAATCCGTATAGGAATCGGTTTTATACTTGCTCGACTGAATAGAGACCATAGTTGGGAACGATATGATACCTTTGCGAATATTATTGTCCCACACGAATCAAAGTACTTGATAATCTAGCTAAAATGTATGTTTTACACACAATTTTTATTTTCACTTGTACAGCATATGTCTATTGCAATCATAAATATTTTTTGGTAAAATACCACTGGGACACGCTTTTGTTTTGTATGGGTCTTTAAAGTAAAAGTTAATCATCCTTAAATGCGTACATGTTCAGGTGGTCAGTAAACTTTACGCATTACACCATTTGAGGAGGTTTCACTTATACTTGAGACAATTGTTGCTAACAAGTATCGTGGGGTTTCAAAGGCAAGTAGTAGTATTGCATGCATCTTAGAAAAATCGTCTTCTGCAAGGGATTGCTACTCGTCTATTTCCACTCAGAAACGATTTCTCACGAAAACAGAAAATGCAAAATTATTCAATCGTTTTATGCCGTAAATTATAATATGACAAAATAGTGGATTCTCTTAAGGGTACATCAGTAAGAGCTTTTCTCATGCCGGGACGAACGTCACATTAAGCAACTTATTTCTGATCCAGCCCCATTTATCCTAATTGAAAATCTGTATCTGTCAGATAATTTGAATCTAACTCAACGCTCAAGTAAAGTTATCTATTAAACCTAGACGAAATGTTAAGGAACACAGCTTTAATTGATTAAGGCAGGTAAGATTCTCACTTGACAGGAATTTTATAGATCGTCCCCATCCGATATACGCAGTTGTACATTTTGTTAAAATAATTGATTATTTTAGCTCTTGATCCGGCGGGTCCATACTTTGAGAAGGGCCGACCTGAAATCCGTATAGATCCTACTGACGGCGAATTTGTTGAGGTATGGCACACGGACGGCAGAAAATTTCTGCCAGAAATAATCAATGGTAAGTGTCACGATGCTATGCCTACCGTTTAATGACTATACGAAGAATGAATTATCTTGGAAGGCCTGCTATGTGCAGTCATAGTTTTCAGAGAAGATATCAGGTAAGCTACAACTGAGACAGAGATTCCCTTTCAACCACTACTAATTGGATTTAATTTAGGTCTGGGCATGTGGGACCCTGCTGGACATGTGGACATCTACGTCAATGGAGGACTTTCGCAGCCAACGTGCGGGAGCCTGAAGCCTGCGTTGATACTGTTTCAAACTTTTGGCGAAAAAAATATTTTTAATCTCGGCAAGGACGTGATCGTTTGCCCTCATCAGTATGTCCTTAAGTAAGTTTTCCGCCCATGTTCAGGCCTGCCTGCCTGCCTGCCTGCCTGCGTCGTAGGCTTGCCGGAAGCCGGACAAGTATTCTCTCAGTATCACTTTTTGTAAACACGGGTACAGAACTACTGAACTGTGAGGGTAGATAACGCTGTCTCAAGCCCACTTCCTGTGGAGTAAAATACTTTGTACAGGTTAATTAAGGCCAGGTTGTAGCATACATTTTCAATAATCTTAAGTACACTGATGAGAATCAACAAAAACTCCACTAGGCCTGTGTATGGATCTACGCAGATACAAAAGGATTCAGATTTGGACAGATGACGGACTGTTTGTCGTAGCAGGCATACATTCGTTTGTTATTATTGTCAAAGCATTATTATTGTTTAAAACAAAACAGCCAACTTGTAATGGCGAAAAACAGTGTATCGTTTCCAAATTTCAGTGAAGATAAGCCTCCGCCGAGAATGAAAAATTCTTCCTGTGCCCAAAATTGACAGTCTACGTTATTGCCAAGTCTCATACGCTATTTGAAAAATAAAAGGAAAAGAAAATTTCTGATGGAGTTTATATTTAAACGGCGCGAAGGCTCATCGAAGTGGTTTACAAAGACCGTCCCCTATACACCTGGATCTTTTATATTGAAACAAATAGCCGTTTTGAAAAACAGAATACCCATTAGGTGAAAACAGTTAGTCTTTTTGAAACGTTCTGCTCCTTTTATACTTATTGGCCGTTTTAAAATCGTGTATTTTTGGAACTTCTGGCCCTCTATCAGTCTAGATCTTGATTCCGCTGGGAGTTTTCACCTATTCATACCGCTTGACGCATGATTACTATTTAAAGATTTTTGCGCGCTTTTTGTAAAGCATTTTTTTGGCAGTTAGTGGTTTAGCTTCTCAGTTGGGTACATGCTTGCTATAGTTAATGGTTTTATTAAATAACCGTGAACGTTAGGAATGACACTTTAAACACACAGACAAATATCTTGCTGGAATATTTATTTTCATTCAAATACCGTATTAGGAGCAACTCATGACGAAGACTCCAGATTTGCACCACGCATTTTGTATTGTTAATAGAAGATTAGTGTGTTAAATATGACAGGTCAGTTCCCCGAATAAAGTGAATCTCAGCCATGTCCGAGTTTTCATAGTTCAGTGCTTTCGACCATTGATTTATCTTACCGGTAGCGTATTGTGACTGATAAGCCTTTGTACACATGTTTCATAAGGATACAGTATCGTTTTGCTTGCAGGTGAACGCAAAGTTTAACAAAAACATTCTATTCATAGTAAGCTCAGGTTGCGTTATGTATGCGTGTGTGTAATGTTATCATCAGTTTTATAAATTAACATTTCTCTTTTCTTATTTAGGCTTATTGCGGCTAGTTTTTTCCCAACAAAAAACTGTGTTCCCGTTGCGTTCCAGTGTGCAAACTACAGCGGCTTCCTTGAAGGAAAGTATTTCAGAAAAATTTACCAGGGAATCCGACAGATGGGCTTTTCCGCGTAGGCCACTCTTTCGGCGAGGCACAATATTTTAACTTATCATTCGGGCGAGGTTCAAGACAGTCGAGTCCATTGAATAGCACAGACCATGACATCGACTAGGAGTTGAATCATGATGGGATTAAACGAGGCAGTGACGCATGCCATAAAAATGGACTAAATATACGAGTACGACCAGATGCAGGCTCAGATTGCCATGCACACTTGATAATTAACTAGTCATTGACTATATTATTCGTGTCAAACAATGATAAAATATAATTTTTCCTTTATGAAACAGGACAGTGCACGGATTGTGGAGACGATACGTCTCGGTGCATCATCTTCGGCGAGGGAGGAGAACGTTACCGCAGTCTTAAGAACAGCCATTCCTGGCCACGGAGATTCTTCCTTCGTCTGGATGCAGAGCAACCGTATTGCAGTACGTACAATAACACGTGCAATTGCTATACCACATTCTCATAGATGGTAAAACAAATTAAAATTAGGTAATTATATAAGATGCTGCTTCACAACCAGAATCAAGCGCATCTCTCTCGCTCTTAGTATGTAAAGTATGTTTTAAAGAAAAAACCAGGCTCAGGATTCGACAACTATTGCTGCTTCCTCCTGAATTTAGCGTTATGTCAAATTGCATATAATATAATTAAAAAACTAGAAAATATCTAGTTAATATGTATTTAAACGAATGAGAATGCATTGTCTCCTGTTGTAAAACCTTAACGATTTCTTAAAGTTAAAAATTATCTCTTAAAACTCGCATCTTACCTCAATTCGAAGACCACCACCGATTACTAACTGATTTTCGTTGGTAGTGCATCACTACGAAATGATCATCAATTTAGCCGAAAGCGTCTCGCTGTTACAAAAAAACGGCAACCTATTTGCGACGGTCGAAGACACACAAGGTGGCGTTAGCTCATCTGTGCAAATAAAGCTTGGGTATGTTAAAATGTTTTACTTTAATGACAATTGTGCAGAAATTGCATTTTCGATTAGCTTTTCTATGTTTCTGATAAAATTAGGCTCTTACCACCGAATCCGGCGGACTTTGAAGATGAACCACCTGGTGAGCTATAATGATTATTTTTTGTGTATGTTAGAGGTACTTTTTCTTTTTTACACAGTTGTTCTAACGCCCTGGTAGCCTCTGGATAGTCAAATACCTACTATGCGCGTTCCCGTATGTAATTTATTTATCTATGGTTTTTTGAAATCGATAGTGATCGATAGTGGGTTATGCTTGCCCAACAGTTGCCCTTTTTGGGGAATGAAAAGGTCCGTAATCACACGGAATCAGATTGGAAGAATGAGCAAATCGAAGCCAATGTTGGATATTCCTTTGCTCAATCCAGGAACAAATAGAGACATGGAGGTAAGATCCGGCACTGACATCAAAAAATCAGATCGCGTGCTTTTGGTTGCTCCGCTAAACGTCTATGAGCCCTTTGAGGACGGCATCAACGGTTTCACTTTCGGCGCACATCTCATAACAGCAGATGCCCCTGATGCCCATACTACCGTTACATTACGACCGAATCTACTCGACACATCCACCCAACTTGATTCTTTTCTGGAGCCACGCCATCCTCTTGCCTGGTTCCTCTCCGGCTGGCAGTAGAGGTTCATTGTCGTCAATGACGACAATATGTTGCATAAGTTACGCAAATTGCACGTGAAACACACCACATGTCGCTGGCGTGGAATTAATTTACGGAGGAACCATTTTTGTTCAGCTTTCGCATATTCAGCATTTGAGCTACGAGTTTGTAATATGCTACAGGCAAAATTCCAGTTTTGGCCGACAAACCCCCCGAAGCCGACAAGACTCGAAACTCGTCTTTCGTGAAAAGCTCTCCTTATTGCAGTAATACGTTCTTGTCCCTCGAGTCCTTTAATCGGGCCACCTCTTAGCTAATGTTCAACACTGCAATCTCCGTTGTTAAAATGTTTGCACCATCTATCTACTGTGCCGTCGCTTAGAGCCTTCTTGTTTAATGGCTGTACTAATCTTCGATGAAGTTACGGTGTGGAAAAGTACGGTGGAACAAAAATCTTGATCACTGAGCGTTGATTTTCGAGACTAAAATATAGTACCCTCTCTAAACAAATTCCTCCTGGAGTAAACTCAACCTATTTTCACCTACAAATTTCTAGAAGACTAGAGTATCTAGTTACCTTTCGTAGCTCAAAAGTGAACCAATCTTAAAGTCCGTCGAGTTCGCTTATAACCGTCTAGTAGTGTATTACAGTATATATACGACAAAACGTGGGCACTACCAACAAGTTTTAATATGGTATATATATACACACCCTAACATTTGTTGACCAAAGAGCATTCAAAGAGAACTTGTCCTCATCTTCTTCCATCTTGAATATATATATATATATATATATATTATGAAGTGTGTCACATAGTTCATTGGAACTTATCGATTATTACAAGATTGATGCAGGTATGCAAAAGTTCGCAAAAATTTCAGGATTGCTCCATAAGCCATAAGCGCCCTAATAACATATTTGAAATATACGTCGGCTCTATTAAACCCGACGTGACCTTGAATAGTAGGTTTACTTAATACCAATTAGTCTTGAATTTGAAATCAAACAAGCTCTACTTAATTATGAGTAACGGTCGTATAGAACTGTAAAGCTGCTCTCATGTTTTACTTTGCAATTTAGGTTGAGCAACAGCGAGAGACGTCAAGTATTCCTATTGGTTGTACCTTCATCAATATGTGCCGATATTAGTGTAGTTCGTCTCAAATGGATGCTTGATTCATCATCTCCTTTAATTATTGATCGTAGCCATAAACCGCACATATCTCTCTTTTATATGAACAACATCATTCCCACAAGGTAAGAAGGATATACGATTCACCCTTTCTTCCGCTAAATCAGTGCCCTCTTAAATTAGCTTCGAGACGGGACATTGGTTCAAAATTCACTTGTTCTATGAGCTCCAAATGTCCTCTATTAGTTTCGTATCAAACATATGTGAGGATTAGAATGCGAACCTTGGCGTTCGGGTCGTGTTAATTTTTGTAAGGGTTATAATGAACTACTCGCAATTAAAAAAAAACTCGGAAGACGATAACATCTCAGGCTGTTTCTGTATCAAATATTCTCTCAGCCACTGCCTTGTCTCTCGCAAAATCGATTTCTTTTTTTTCTTACGCTTCAGAGAAGGTTCGCATTTATTGTGGTAGTGTCAGTTATGATCGAATTTACCGGTAAATATGATTTCACACGCTAAACATTAATTTTCACAACCTTGGTAAAGACGGTGGGCAATGCAAAATCCAAATTTATCCGTTGTCACACCTAAGCTGATGAGCGCAAGTTAGTTCAGTGACGGCTTTCTCTAATACAGCAACGGTTCTTGCTTCTTGCGACAAAGTGGAGAACTTTTTGTAAATCTAAAGTTATCTAACTTTCTTAATTTATTTACACTTTATGTCGATGACGAAGCTTGAAGATTATTAAACTTATAACAAAGATGCCTCTGATCCGATGAAGGCAGCTGAGATGTTGGGAACACTAGGAAATTGAAACACAGTTCTACACATCGAATACACTAAATACATATACATACATATATATAAGAGTAGACTAATGCTTACATTGTTATTTGCAGGGAGAAGTCGCGACACATAAAAATGTTCTGTGGGGAAAACACCGTGTTGAACCCGAACGAGGAGCAAAGATTCTTTCCGTGTTAATAACACACGCAAGACGTATTCTTAACTATAAACATTGTAGTAGTGGCTTTACTTTAAAGAAATTAGTCTCAAATAGAAATTCAATCAAAGAGAGAAGCAGAAGTAATACAAACCTATAAACCTCGCGTGCAAGTTAAGCGAGCGATGCTAAATTGCCCACTTGACTTTAATACTTACTAGGGGACTCAGTGTACTTCCGTGCGATAGCCATCTACATACGTCCTTGCTTGGGTTTGTTTGCATAGAGTTTATCCTTTAGTAGAATTCCCTATCTTTACATAGCGTTTCATGCATGCATAATTACTTCTATAGTGAATCGTGTGAAAGTTGTCATCACAGAGATTTACGTGGAATTTGATTTGACTGGTCAGTATATTGTACATCTACACCAAGTTATATATGTTTAATTCAAGCAATTTCAGTGCTAGCCGTATGTAAGAATTTGATAATTTATTTAGATTTACGTCCAGAACCTGACGAGCCTTGTTGGAGTGTGGCCTATGTGTCTACGAAGCTCGAAGGAAGCCTTCAACAACAACTTCCCACCTTATAAGTTATGCTCCATTGACTGTACTACCTGAATTAACAACGCATTACCCGAACGTTGTATCTTTATCCGCAAGACGGACTACACAACCGAAATTCGCTCCACATGCAGTGTTGCGTGCATCAGAGTCTAATCGCACTCAGTGTGATTCCAGATCTCGTTCCCACAGGAACTCATTACAATAGCCCCCGTCCCACCCCTCATCGAGCGACTCCCATCATCAGAACAGAATTTTTTTGACGTATGTTGATTAGATATTGGCTGGCGATCTGCCACCATCTACAACTTCTCGGGAGCAAAGTGAACGGATTGAAGAGGCCTCAAAAGCTTGAAACTAAGCTAACGCCTTCTTGCGTTTTAGAATAAGCCCGATCCATGTGCGTCGTGAGGACATATTCAACATATCGGTTTATGGCCCATCCATGCGGTGCCTTAACTATTCTTGTTTTGTATCGTATTGTCTTGGCAATAGCGTACGGCACGAAATTGAGGGTACGATGTAATATAATCTGTATTTCAGTTGTGTTATATATATACATCACGCAGTTAAAGTGTCATCATTGTTACTCTAGAGTGAAATCGGAGTCTCCAATTAGCTCATATGAAAAACAGGCGCTTTCTACCAGTACTGATTCGGCCATTGTTAATTGGATCGTAATCGGTTGACGGTGCTCCAATCAATCCCGTGCAGAGCGAGCCAGCTACTTCTCCGCAAATCGGGCAAGATTCCGTTACCAAGGCGTATGGATTTTTCTTCCAATCATGTAAGTTATTCGAGCTAAACAAGCAAACTAGCACAAGTAACGCGCCTTTTTGTCATGTTCAATAGACTATACTGTTACACGATCATCTTGGTGTAGTGCTTGGATTAATTTATGTAGCTTCAACAGTTCGCTCCCTACTCCCGTCACCTCCGATCGAGATGTCAGTTGCACTGATGCCTATTTAATGACACCCTAGCGAGCAAAAAATCTTCAAATACTCATAATCATCTATGTATATACGTGACTGCCTGCTTGGCTCCGTGACGGGTTGTCGCCAATTATTCCCTATAAATAGACGGCGGCCTGACAGCCAATGACGCGTTGCCTGAACCTGCTTGGAAACAGTGAACTGAAATTATGTTTATAAACATTCAAGCATAACTGAAGGCTATACATAAGGTCGTTGTTAATAATTTACCACGTGGATAGATAGTTTAAATTGTTTGTTAGTTACTCTGTCATTGCTTAATAATATGGTTAATGTATAAAATTATCACAAGTATTTTGTTTGTAATTGACCCGCTTTAGCTTTATCACAGTAGCTCGCTACTATTTACGAGACTGCAGCCAGGCTTCGTTTGGAGAAACGAAATTTTTGCGGTTATGTTTGTAAGTACGGTGTAGTGTTAGGTTTATACGACCGGTGTATTCCGACCATTGCTTGACGATCAGAGCAGTCAGATACAGCCTTAGGTCTTTTCACTACAGAGTCGTTGTGGGGCGCAAGCTCACCGTTGCACCTAACGGTATGATGGAGGAATCGAGAAGTTCAGAGTTCCGTCCTATAACCTATGTATGATATTGTCGGCTTGATATTGGCCGATATTGACAGCAGGATTCCTAGCACTAAAGTGAACATTAGACGACGTTCGTGACACACGTTCTGAAAAACTTTCTGACACTAATAATAAAATATTCAATGGAAAAGTTCATTCACCACATGCGTTGAGTCGCTTACACCTATATATTTACTGCGGCTAAAACATGCATATACGTTCTGCGTGCTCCGCAGCGGTATCACGCCACTCAGATGCGATATAGCGATTTAGACCGCCGTCTGCCCTCCAAGTGTTCTTTTTTTTTAACTCAAGAACAAACCATTCTATAGATTCTTAATAGAAATGACCGGCACGGGATTGGCTGATTAGAATTATGATGTTCGCCTACTTTTTAATGAGACTACATTAAATAATCGGCAGCCGCCAGTTACTGTTAATCAAGTTTACCTCTCAGATATTTACAGAATCGAAACTGTTCGACAAAATAACAAATATGTTTATTTGTATAAACTTCGAATGATTCTACAAATGTATGTGTCTGTTTTACACTAATAAGGTTATTAAAGATAATTAACATCAATTTATTAATTGCCTGAATATTGCAGTAAATATTTCACTGCTTGATGCCCTCATTCCCATCTATTTGGTTGGAATCTTTTTTGGAAACTCAATGTCAATGTATGACCACATTTTCTATATACTACGTTCTGTTTCGTTTTTAAATCCTGGAGGATATTACCCGAATTATAAGAGTGATTCCTTGATGAACGTTGGTTTGTTTTGAAGGCAGCTGAAGATCGAAAACGAACAACAACGATAAATACTAATAACAAAAACTATAATACTAATACTGACGCTTAGATAAATTCGAAGAAGATATAGTACGATAACTGCTACTCGTCATCATATCTCGCGAATATCCGGAGCGTTCGCATGAGTCAGAAGGAAATATGAGGGAAGAAGCCTTGATGGCATTCGTAGACGTTTGCTATTAGAGCTAGCTATCGGGTTCTGCTACGCAAGATACGATGTTTTGTCTCCCTGACCGATCTTGTCCTCATGCATAATGATATACACAGGTCGTTTTGCAGCCCGTTCGAGATGATCTCATCTTTGGCTCTTTAGCTTCATTGCCGTTAATGGCAGCGTGCTGATGTGGCAACGGCTGGTGCTCTTTGATAGCGCGCACTGCATCGTATAATACAATGAATCAATGAGAAAAAAGGAAAGACGTACGGCCTACTCTCCTTTTTACCTTTCCTCGTATATAGCCCAGCGTATACTTCAGAAGAATGCTGCAACTCAATTTTCTGTCGAATCCTTTAGAGGAGGAAAGGGAAACAGAGGCGACAAGCGCCAACGGAACAGAGAATAAAAGTAATCAAATAGAACGATCGTAGAATTGTGTTTCACTTAGCAAACTAAGGACAAGGCGAACGTTTTAAATTGGGCTCTGTTCATTTTAGACGTATCGTGATATGGTAATAGCAAAAGAATAGATAGAAAAACAACTCTAAATTTTATATATAGAGTAGGACTGGGCCATTTGTTCGTTGGGTTTTGTATATGACTATGGTGCAACATAACAGCTGATGTCAAATAGTGCTTTTTTTAGACCCGGCGTTTTAGTACCGCGGACCAAACACTTACCATCACCCGGGTCGTGTTCATAATGTCACTTGAAGGTCGGCAACTCTTGTGACTCACGCGTAGACCGACACATGCATCTGTCAACATACGTGTGAACCTGATCACGCTTCTTTAAATGTCAACGTTGTTTGCAGAAAGCCGTACACTTTTCATTTTAACAGTTATCGATTTCATTTTCGCGAAGATTTTCACGTTTGGATACTAATCCATTATACCTATATAGCGGTATGTAAAAACATACGTACGTTCATGTCTTCGAAAAACAGCAGGCGCACAGTACACATAGAAACGTCATCGTTGACTGGAAAAGATAATATAGGATGGGGCATAATCTGGGTCAGGTTTGAACATGCGTTCATCCGCTACGTTTAGCGCAAGAAGAAAGCCAGGTATTCCTGGAACAAGACAACAAATTCACCATGGCGGAAGACAATGAACTTTCGTTTTTGCGAGAATTAGCTACTGTCCAATTTTTTGCATGGAATGAACCCTCAATAAAATAAAAGACCTCCTTTTGTGCGCAAAATCGGTGAACTACGTCATGGTCAGTTTTCAAACAGCTCCAAAGAAAATACGAGAACCATTTTTATGAGACAGACTAGAGAGCCGTCAATAGGGTCTAAATAGAGAAATGGTTCGAAAAAGTGGGTCAAAAAATATTTTTAGTACGCTCGGATTTTTGATACAAACAGAAATGAACAGCTGTTTCGAACAGGTGAATACCAATTGTCAATCCGATCGTTTAAATAGACTCCAACGTTGGACCCTCTAACCACGCGCTGCATGTTTTAATTTTTTTGGACCCTTGTACTTTGGCCATTTGAGCCTGCTGTACTATAGTTTTGCTTCAAATTTTTTTGTAGCATACTTAAGCGATACTGTGACCCGTTTACATCTATCAGTATCGTTTGATTTGTGGTCACTATTATTTTGCGGGTTAAATAAAGAAAATAACTAATAAATGTTGCAGCTATGATAGTTGTCAATGATGGTTGACGACTGTCGAGCAGAACCCCCAAGAGTGACACTTCTGACACATGCGGAGAAGTTCGTTGAATTACCGATCAAATACACACAACGTTTAGCTGGATACAATTTATAATAAAAACTGTTTGTTCTTCCAAAACTGTGATTTGCATGCATAAGATTCTGGTGCATAAGACTGTGCACCAACGTAGCTAGGGGAGGGCTGGTCAAGAACACAGTGCAAAAGGGTATTGAACACGTCAGACAGTGAACTTGGCATAAGGTCAATTTGTGGCGTTTATGTAACCTTTCATCACCCTGTAAGATACTTCCGACTTCTATTCGTCGTAAATAATTGACTTAATAATAACTATATGGGTTAATGTTTCGTTTGGACGGGCAAGGTGTAAAGATTTCTGTTCCTGTAAAGAATTACAACAAACAAATCTTCGAATGGACACGTAGGACATGTGCGAAGCAGTTCTAGCTGGCGTTCTGAAAGGAGATCTGTGGACCTCATACAGTAGATAGGTAAATGCAACTCTTTCCTGGAATATTGAACGCCAACGGAATGAAGTGCAAGATAGTGTTGCCTTTCTCTACTTGGACTGACTAAACAGTTGACGACGTAATGACGACTTCGGGCACCACTTTTGATCATGGGTTTGTTTTACGGCATCGCGACAAAGAGTACCTACTTTAACCCATCGATCTCAGTCCCAGGAACGAAGGCTTGAACGTTTGACAGCCTCTTTTTTTGCGGACAGTGCTTGTAAGTTCAAGTCATCTCTTATTGCTGCTGCGGTTCAATCACGGCTCGCGCAGTTACACTTTCTTAGATACCTCTAGAGTAAAAAAGTAAGAGGATTTCGTCAATCTACAAGGGTATCAAATATTTCCGCTAAGGGTAATAAAAATGTTCGACTCAAACTGACATTGAAACAATGTTATTTGTTAAACGTTAGTAATTAAATAACGAACATATTGAAATTAGTTACGAATCGTGACCACAATTTCGGTCGAGTTTCATGCCCAACCAAACCCAGAGAGGGTGCATATGATATAGTGTCATTGAAAAGACACATGTCGGGTATAAGATCAATGCCAAACACAAACTCCGTTAAATCCGACAAGCAGACGAAAACCTTCGATCGCTACGTACTTAAGGTGAGTATTTCTAACACACGAGCTATGAAACTTTAGTGAACATTTCGTATCATTCTAGAAGTTAAACTAACCTAATACGGATCAACCTTATCCGATTACTGCGTCTAGAAAATAGGTCTACAAATGGCGACCGAATATGTGACATTCATGCCGAGTTACAAAATAGTCCACAGAAATCTTAGATCTTAGCCGCGATGACATTTTAGACATGAGTCAATTCAACGAAGTCTGTTACGCTTACTGCTTACTGTGCATCCGGTGCGTATTTAACGGGTGGGCCAAAGTTGGCGCTGGGGCCCACGGAAACAGAGATATCGGGTCCAGACACATGAATAGCTAGCAATACTTGCTATCCGCTTGGCTAGTCACGCTCATATGATGTTTCGAAGAGCTTCGCAACATTGGCTTCACGGACGCATGTTGTCCTTAATTATATGCGTATCAGTCAATTGTGTATACACTATGTTTATCAGTTGAATGGAGATACAATGGCATGCGAATTTTCTGGGACAGTGGCAACAGTAAACACATATACACATTAAGTTATTTTTTTTCCTTCGTACCAAGTTAAAGAAAGAACGAAAAAAATGTATCCGACCATCACAAATCACATCTGCATGGACAGTAAAGTATGAAAACTTAACGACTTTGTTCTTGCCCCAACGATGCCGCGTAGGCCCCCGGCCCTCCGTCGGACAATTCCCGCCTGCACCGCCGGCGCTGCTGTCGCTGCTGCTGTTGTACCGACGCGGTCGTTTGTTTGTGCAGCAATATTATGTCTGCCTGAATATATTCGCAAGCTGACTACTTACATTTTGGCCTGTGTAAGGGCTAAAGCATTTAATCGAAGTGTTATGCGATGACTTTAGGCTGAATAAAGCGGGGTCGGCTCTGTTCCTGAAAGAAACATCAAAGCGTAAAGAATTTAGCGGCAGTAACAACAGCGCTGAATAATTCTGTTACTGCGCCTGTAGTTACTGTGAAGCGACTGGTCTGAGCAAGCGGTATAATTGTGTTTCAAGTAAATAATCGATAATAAAAAAAAAAAGTCGAACGAAATTATTCAATAAAAAGCTTCTAACACGAAATGCCCTTGATTACGTAGACCGGAATTATTGCAGAAATCAAAACCGAACAGTTACGAATTAACAAAACGTTATAGACGATGTAACATAAAATTTATAAGATGCCTTTTCGTTAACGAGCCAGCGCAAGGGATATACAATATATTCAGACATCGCGGAGAAGCTGTGTTGCTGGGACACGTATATAACGTACATGACTATCGCGTGGAAAAGCCAACCAG